GATAATGTATGTGATATCAATAGAGAGGTGTACTTTCTGGGTGATTTAAATATTGACTGGCTTTCATCAGGCTGCCCACTCAAGAGAAAACTTCAAACTGTAACCAGTGCCTGCAACCTGGTTCAGGTTATCAGTCAACCTACCAGGGTAGTTACAAACAGTACAGGAATTAAATCATCAACATGTATGTAACATATCTTTACTAATGCTGCAGAGATTTGTTTGAAAGCAGTATCCAAATCCATTGGATGTAGTGATCACAATATAGTAACCATATCTAGGTTACTGGGCCTAATATTGTGTATAAGAGGTCATCATTGTAGTGATTCCTATGTTGTTGATGTAAATAATATATGTTGGTCCATGGTGTGTTATGAGCAGCAAACAGACACTGCACTTGACACATTTATGAAATTGCTTATTCCAGTTACTAATAAGCATGCACCCATTAAGAAAATGACAACAACAAAAAAACGGTTAAATCCCCTTGGATTGATGAGGAATTGAAAAATTGTATGGTTGATAGGGATGAGGCAAAAGGAATGGCAAATAATTTTGGCTGCACAAACAATTGGCAAATGTATTGCAAATTGAGAAATCATGTGACTAAACTGAATAAAAAGAAGAAGAAACAACACTATGAAACAAGGATAAATTACAAAGAATTATCGTAAAAAGCTTTGGAGCAAAAAAAGGCAAACTCAGCTCCATCATCCATTGAATTAGATGGCTCATTCACCACAAAACCAACTGATATTGCCAACTACTTTAATGATTTTTTCATTGGCAAGACTAGCAAATTTAGGCATAACATGCCATCAACAATTGCTGACACTACACATCCAAGTATATCTGACCAAATTATGAAAGACAAGCATTGTAATTTTGAATTCCGTAAAGTGAGTGTGGAAGAGGTGAAAAATGGTCTATCAACACTGACAAGCCACTGGGGTCTGACAAATTGGATGGGAAATTACTGAGGATAATAGCGGACGATATTGCCACTCCTATTTGCCATATTTTCAATTTAAGCCTACTAAAATGTGTGTGCCCCCAGGCTTGGAGGGAAGCAAAAATAATTCCACTACCTAAAAATAGTAAAGCCCCCTTTACTGGCTCAAATAGCCGACCAATTAGCACGTTACCAACCCTTAATAAACTATTGGAAAAAATGGTGTTTGACCAGATACAATGCTATTTTACAGTAAACAAATGGACAACTTTCAGCATGCTTATAGAGGACATTCAACAAGCACAGCACTTACACAAATGACTGATAATTGGCTGAGAGAAATTGATGATAAAAAGATTTTGAGGGCTGTTTTGTTAGACTTCAGTGCGGCTTTTGACATTATCGATCAGTCTGCTGCTGGAAAAACTTGTGTTATGGCTTTACTCCACCTGCTATATTGTGGATACAGAGTTACCTGTCTAACAGAACACAGAGGGTGTTATTTAATGGAAGCCTCTCCAACATAATCCAGGTAGAATCAGGAATTCCCCAGGGCAGCTGTCTAGGCCCATTACTTTTTTCAATCTTTACTAATGACATGCCACTGGCTTTGAGTAAAGCCAGAGTGTCTATGTACAGTGGGGAGAATAAGTATTTGATACACTGCCGATTTTGCAGGTTTTCCTACTTACAAACCATGTAGAGGTCTGTAATTTTTATCATAGTTTTTATCATATCAAAAATCCAGAAAATCACATTGTATGATTTTTAAGTACTTAATTTGCATTTTATTGCATGACATAAGTATTTGATACATCAGAAAAGCAGAACTTAATATTTGGTACAGAAACCTTTGTTTGCAATTACAGAGATCATATGTTTCCTGTAGGTCTTGACCAAGTTTGCACACACTGCAGCAGGGATTTTGGCCCACTCCTCCATACAGACCTTCTCCAGATCCTTCAGGTTTCGGGGCTGTCGCTGGGCAATACAGACTTTCAGCTCCCTCCAAAGATTTTCTATTGGGTTCAGGTCTGGAGACTGGCTAAGCCACTCCAGGACCTTGAGATGCTTCTTACGGAGCCACTCCTTAGTTGCCCTGGCTGTGTGTTTCGGATCGATGTCATGCTGGAAGACCCAGCCACGACCCATCTTCAATGCTCTTACTGAAGGAAGGTTGTTGTTGGCCAAGATCTCGCGATACATGGCCCCATCCATCCTCCCCTCAATACGGTGCAGTCGTCCTGTCCCCTTTGCAGAAAAGCATCCCCAAAGAATGATGTTTCCACCTCCATGCTTCACGGTTGGGATGATGTTCTTGGGGTTGTACTCATCCTTCTTCTTCCTCCAAACACGGCGAGTGGAGTTTAGACCAAAAAGCTCAATTTTTGTCTCATCAGACCACATGACCTTCTCCCATTCCTCCTCTGGATCATCCAGATGGTCATTGGCAAACTTCAGACGGGCCTGGACATGCGCTGGCTTGAGCAGGGGGACCTTGCGTGCGCTGCAGGATTTTAATCCATGACAGCGTAGTGTGTTACTAATGGTTTTCTTTGAGACTGTGGTCCCAGCTCTCTTCAGGTCATTGACCAGGTCCTGCCGTGTAGTTCTGGGCTGATCCCTCACCTTCCTCATGATCATTGATGCCCCACGAGGTGAGATCTTGCATGGAGCCCCAGACCGAGGGTGATTGACCGTCATCTTGAACTTCTTCCATTTTCTAATAATTGCGCCAACAGTTGTTGCCTTCTCACCAAGCTGCTTGCCTATTGTCCTGTAGCCCATCCCAGCCTTGTGCAGGTCTACAATTTTATTCCTGATGTCCTTACACAGCTCTCTAGTCTTGGCCATTGTGGAGAGGTTGGAGTCTGTTTGATTGAGTGTGTGGACAGGTGTCTTTTATAATATAATAATATGCCATTTATCAGACGCTTTTATCCAAAGCGACTTACAGTCATGCGTGCATACATTTTTGTTTTATGCAGGTAACGAGTTCAAACAGGTGCAGTTAATACAGGTAATGAGCGGAGAACAGGAGGGCTTCATAAAGAAAAACTAACAGGTCTGTGAGAGCCGGAATTCTTACTGGTTGGTAGGTGATCAAATACCTATGTCATGCAATAAAATGCAAATGTATTACTTAAAAATCATACAATGTGATTTTCTGGATTTTTGTTTTAGATTCCGTCTCTCACAGTTGAAGTGTACCTATGATAAAAATTACAGACCTCTACATGCTTTGTAAGTAGGAAAACCTGCAAAATCAGCAGTGTATCAAATACTTGTTCTCCCCACTGTATGTGGATGACTCAACACTATACGTCAGCTACTACAGCGACTGAAATGACTGCAACACTTAACAAGAGTTGCAGTTAGTTTGAGTGGGTGGCAAGGAATAAGTTAGTTCTAAATATTTCTAAAACTAAAAGCATTGTATTTGGGACAAATCATTCACTAAACCTCAACTAAATCTTGTAATAAATCATGTGGAAATTGAAGGTGACTAAACTGCTTGGAGTAACCCTGGATTGTAAACTGTCATGGTCAAAACGTATTGATACAACAGTAGCTAAAATGGGGAGAAGTATGTCCATTAAGCGCTGCTCTACCTTCACAGCACTATCAACAAGGCAGGTCCTAGTTGTCACACCTGGACTACTGTTCAGTCGTGTGGTCAGGCACCACAAAAAAGGACTTAGGAAAATTGCAGTTGGCTCAGAACAGGGCAACACGGCTGGCCCTTAGATGTACACAGAGCTAATATGAATAATATGCATGTCGATCTCTCCTGGCTCAAAGTGGAGGAGAGATGACTTCATCACTACTTGTGTTTATATGTTGGGTGCACCGAGCTGTCTGTTTGAGCTACTGGCGCACAGCTCAGTCACCCACGCAAGACATGCCACCAGAGGTCTCTTCACAGTCCCCAAGTCCAGAACAGACTATGGGAGGCGCACAGTACTACATAGAGCCATGACTACATTGCACTCTATTCTACATCAAGTAACTGATGCAAGTAGTAAAATTAGATTTAAAAAATACATATTTTATGGAACAGCAGAAACTGAAGCAACATATACATAGGAGCAGACATGCATACACACAACATACGCACAGATTCTTGTACTGTAGATGTGGTGGAGTAGGGGCCTGAGGGCAGTGTTGTGAAATCTGTGAATGTATTGTAATGTTTTTAAATATTGTATGAACTGCCTTAAATTTTGCTAATGGGGATCCATAATAAATAAACACACGCACTTATACGCTGCTGCTACTGTTTATCATATATCCTGATGCCTAATCACCTTACCCCTATACACATCTACCCCTAGTATCCCATTCCCTGCACATTGTAAATATGGTATTGGCACTAACCCTGTAGAAAGCTTACCTTTGTGTTCTTATTTCTCATGCCTTTGTTGTACTACCAATATTGATTACTGCATTGTTGGGAAAGATTATTCCAATTTTAATTTGTAAACAGGTGTAGACTAACAGTGAAATGCTTACTTGCAGGCCCTTCCCAACAATGTAAGGCATTTCTCTGTACATGTGCATGTGACAAAAACAAAGCAGTCAGAGTCAGAGTATGGTTAATATGTACTGCAGGGTTTATTACAATGATCTACGGGGAAAGGAATCAGAGCAACAGGGAAAGCCCCACCCACCCCCTTAAACCTACAGTCAAAACCAATATTTTTTTCAAAAAAACAAAAACTGGTAAAAAACACATCGCAGCATTTAAAAGGATTGATACACAAATGTAAATCACATCAGAAGACATCCAAGTGTAAAATGCCCCGCATCTTCAACGCTGTAACAACTGCGACTGTCCTCGTGTTCAGCCTGGAGTGTAATGCAGCCTGGAGGATTCACCTAGGCTCTTAGCTGGTTTCCATCTGGGGTGGGTAGAGGAAACATCAGATAAGACGCATGATACTATGGGCAGTATCACTCCCGTCATTAATTTCCAACGCTATACACGTTGGCAGACAAACGTAAACCCCCTACGACACTTCATAACCCTTTTCAAACCGCGACTCACCCTGGCATTGTAGGCATCTAGCTGGGCATCCAGCTCTTCAGCGGAAAGTGGCTTGGTGCTTCCCCCGCGGCCACCTCGGCCCCTGCCTCCTCCACCACGACCTGCTCCACGTCCTCTCTGCATCCCTCTGAACACACCGCCACGACCCCTGTTCATGCCACCACCTCCTCGGTTCATACTGTTGAACATCTGAACATTAGCACTTTCCATTCATGATACTTATCATTTGGCTCAGGTTGTTTTGGAACAGTTAAATCTTAACACTTACCCCTGCATGGGTGGTCGTCTTTGTGTGTCGATCTGTGATGTGACAAGTTGTATGTTCATGGGACGTCCTGCAAGAGAAAAAGTATTCAGGTTAGTTTTAGCCTTCAGCAACTTGAATACTTGATACAGTGTCAGCATGGTGAAAGAAAACTCAGCAGCACCAAACAGTTGACGGTTTCAGCAAGGTACAAATGACATGCTAATTTACTTCAGTGTGTGGCTGGTATTTTTGGCAACTGTCAAAGCCACTTGAGAAACCTACCATCAAGTGGTACACCGTTGTACTGTTTCATAGCTTTCAGAGCATCTGCCTTCCTCTCAAAGTGGACGTCTGCCGTGCCTAAGCTCCTGCCCGACCGGTCGTAGTGAACAGCTGCCTTCTTCAGTGTACCAAACTCCGCAAAGAGCTCCTGCAATGAGAGAACATAAACCATGTATTGTGATTGATTTCAAGTGCAATTTTGGAAATGCTAAGCCAAGGCAAATAAGCAATTTCTAAAGACTCAACAAGTCAAAATGAAAATAAGATGTACCTGAATATCTGCGTCTGAAACGCCAAAGTCGAGATTGGAGACAAGAAGCTTCCCTCCGGTTTCCACACCAGCGCCACCCCCGCCGCCCCCAGCACTGGCATTGAAGCCATGATTGCTGTACATGTCGTGTTGCCATTTATCAGGAAGCTGCTTGGGCTGCAACAGATGAAAGAGAATGCACCTGCTGACTTCAGGCTCCCCTGTCTCTGCCAATCACAGAGACTGGTCCACACAGCTGGGTGGGTGCTGGGGAGACCAGGGACTACACAGCCAACAGGGCCTGGTGGTTGGCACACAGCTACCCACCATGGAGATTCCCAGCATTCCCTGCCCACCCCATTACTACAAACAAGTAAACCAGTGCAGAAACAGGACACATGGCAACATATCAAGTCTAGCCACTAGACCAAGCTATCAGGTCATAAAGCATTTAGCTCAAACTAAATGGGCCCTACTTGTAACAAATGAAACATTCCCAATAAGAGAATAATGTGAAGAAATGTATGCATTGACGTCTGTTGAGGCTATTTTGATTAACATTTAACTGCAAACAATTAAAACAGTACACAACATTTAATCGCTACCATCTGCACTCTGCTCCCACCCCCTTACTGGATAACTAGGCTGACAATGTTGCCCACTGTGCTCTTGCCATCTGCGCCTCCACCAAAGGCTCTCCAGGCGGCCATCCCCAGCGAGAGTAGTATGCTGAAGAAAGTAATCCATCCATATGGCGCTGTAGTTGTTCTTTGCATCAGTGTCGACTCCAGCAGTGTGGTTATTTGCTTAAATTGTTCTTTAAAAGCCATGAGTTGGCTTTGATGGGTTAAGTGTCCATTTTCTGAAAGAGACAACTAGCATAATAGGCCAACTACCTGGCCTGAACATGGATGGCAACCATCTGAGCGTCCATTTTGAAACCACGCCATTTTGATTGGGTTGTTGTGACTAGTAACACATTAGTAGAAATGTGAAGATAAAACTATGTAATAAGAGGGCAAAAGTCAACTGCTCCATCCATAAAGGACACCATTCTTTGTTGATATGGTGGTGCCGCTCAAAGGGGATTGCGTTAACCCGCCAGCCACTCCCAAACAAAGGACTCCACCAGATAGGAGCGCAGGATGAAACTCCCAAAAAGCTGCCTCTGCTACAAAAATCATCCAAATGCAACGATATTCTTCGATGCAGTGCCGTTCGGTGATCCAACAAGGGACTTTCTGGGATGAAGGATACAGCGACAGACCATGAAATAAATATTTCATTGATTGAAGATGCTGAATTCAAAATGGCGCCGTCTGGGCCTTGTAGGTTAGCAGCTAATCCAGAGTTAGCAATATAGCTAGTTAGTAACTAGCTAACCTGCTCCAAAAGCTTCTTCTCAAAAAGTGGTGACATACATTGGTTGGGGTGGACAAGGACACGTTATTCATTATATTTCCATATCAACCGCAATTTAAAGGGTTTCCCTTCGTTAATTCGAGAGAAACTCGGTTAGCTAGCTAAATGCCTCTCGACTAGCAAGCTAGCCATTGCATTGGGGCAGCTAGCAAGCCTGAAGATTAGAGGACGTCACCCAGGCATTTTCAGGTTACCAGGCGTTTTCCTTTTTCTCAGCTCATTCCTCTAACTTTCTCATACCCTGCTGTATGGCGTAGGTCTTGCTCTGCCACGGCTCAGGTTCGGTCGGTTCCTCATGGGGCCCGATCCTCCACCTCGGCCTCCAAAGCCTCCACCGGCAGCTCCACGGCCAACACCACCACCTCGGCCCCCGCCAGAGCCTCCCCGGCCACGGCCTCTTCCACCACCACGGCCTCCTGCGCCCCCTCTCTGCTGCCTGTTCTGCTTGATGATGTCGTCTAGAGACATATCCATCTTATCGGCCATTATGAAGTTTCAATTACGCTAAACAGAATTGTTAGCGAACTAAAAGTACACACTAGCCTGACTGATCCCTGTCTTTAGTTTTTAAAAAAAACTTGGTTATATCCCCGCGGTACTACTCAACTGCGGGAAAAAAATAAACGCTCAAATGGAGCGCAGGCTGTCTTTATAGCCACAAGCCCCTCATTACGTGAGGACGGATGACGCTATCAGTGTCGGATTGTTGTGCGCCGCCCCTTCCACAGTTTTGCTCAGGCTTTCAAATCAAGAAGGGCCTATTTGAAATTGAGCGCTTGAGTCATATCACTACAAGTACCTGTGCTGCTATTATCAGTGGAGCAGCGCAATGGTCTCGAATTTACTGTACTGCTAGTTATACAAAAGTACATAGATCTGACATTTTCATTTTACATTTACATTTTAGTCATTTAGCAGACGCTCTTTTCCAGAGCGACTTACAGTTAGTGAATACATATATATATATTATTTTTTTTTATACTGCCCCCCCCGGGAAACGAACCCACAACCCTGGCGTTGCAAACGCCATGCTCTATCAACTGAGCTACATCCCTGCCGGCCATTCCCTCCCCTACCCTGGACGACGCTGGGCCAATTGTGCGCCGCCCTAAGACCCTCACGAACTTTAGATGCACAATTGAGAGCATCCAATCGGATTGCAGGGCTCTCCAGAGGGGTGGTGCGTGAACCCAATACATCACTCCAGGACATCTACAGCACCCAGTGTCACAGAAAGGCCAAGAAAATCATCAAGGACCTCAGCCATCCGAGCCACAGCCTGTTCACCCCGCTACCATCTAGAAGGTGGGGACAGTACAGGTGCATCAAAGCTGGGAGGAGGAGACTTTAAAACAGCTTCTATCTCCAGGCCATCACTGTTAAATAGTCACCACTAGCCGGCCTTCACCCAGTACCCTGCCCTGAACTTAGTCACTTTTACTAGCCAACTACCTTAGAGACTGCTGCCGTATGTACATAGTCATTGAACACTGGTCACTTTAATAATGTTTACATACTGTTTTACCCACTTCATATGTATATACTGTATTCTAGTCAAGGCTCATCCTATAACTACTGCTGCACACACCGTTCCTCTTCATATACTGGCCATACTGTCTATACACACCATTATACACACACACACACACACACTACCGTTCAAAAGTTTGGGGTCACTTAGACATTTCCTTGTTTTCCATGAAAACATGCATGAAATGAGTTTGAATAGGAAATATAGCAAAGTGAATAGGAAATGTCATTGACAAGGTCAGAAATAATGATTTTTAATTGAAATAATAATTGTGTGCTTCAAACTTTGCTTTCGTCAAAGAATCCTCCATTTGCAGCAATTACAGCCTTGCAGACCTTTGGCATGTGACTACGTCAGAAATAATGATTTTTAATTGAAATAATAATTGTGTGCTTCAAACTTTGCTTTCGTCAAAGAATCCTCCATTTGCAGCAATTACAGCCTTGCAGACCTTTGGCATTCTAGTTGTCAATTTGTTGAGGTAATCTGAAGAGATTTCACCCCATGCTTCCTGAAGCACCTCCTACAAGTTGGATTGGCTTGATGGGCACTTCTTACGTACCGTACAGTCAAGCTGCTCCCACAACAGATCAATAGGGTTGAGATCCGGTGACTGTGCGGGCCACTCCATTATAGACAGAATACCAGCTGACTGCTTCTTCCCTCAATAGTTATTGCATAGTTTGGAGCTGTGCTTTGGGTCATTGTCCTGTTGTAGGAGGAAATTGGCTCCAATCAAGCACCGTCCACAGGGTATGGCATGGCGTTGCAAAATGGAGTGATAGCCTTCCTTCTTCAAGATCCCTTTTACCCTGTACAAATCTCCCACTTTACCACCACCAAAGCACCCCCAGACCATCACATTGCCTCCACCATGCTTGACATATGGCATCAAACACTCCTCCAGCATCTTTTCATTGTCTGCGTCTCACAAATGTTCTTCTTTGTGATCCGAACACCTCAATCTTCCTCTGTCCAGTGTCTGTGTTATTTTGCCCATCTTAATCTTTTCTTTTTATTGGCCAGTCTGAGATATGGCTTTTTCTTTGCAACTCTGCCTAGGTCAGCATCCCGGAGTCGCCTCTTCATTGTTGACGTTGAGACTGGTGTTTTGCGGGTACTATTTAATGAAGCTGCCAGTTGAGGATCTGTGAGGTGTCTGTTTCTCAAACTAGACACTAATGTATTTGTCATCTTGCTCAGTTGTGCACCAGGGCCTCCCACTCCTCTTTCTATTCTGGTTAGAGCCAGTTTTGCCCTGTTCTGTGAAGGGAGTAGTACACAGCGTTGTACGTGCTCTTCAGTTTCTTGGCAATTTCTCGCATGGAATAGCCTTCATTTCTCAGAACAAGAATAGACTGATGAGTTTCAGAAGAAAGTTACAGTGGAGAAAAAAAGTATTTAGTCAGCCACCAATTGTGCAAGTTCTCCCACTTAAAAAGATGAGAGAGGCCTGTAATTTTCATCATAGGTACACGTCAACTATGACAGACATATTGAGAGAAAAAAATTCCAGAAAATCTCATTTTAGGATTTTTAATGAATTTATTTGCAAAGTATGGTGGAAAATAAGTATTTGGTCACCTACAAACAAGCAAGATTTCTGGCTCTCACAGACCTGTAACTTCTTCTTTAAGAGGCTCCTCTGTCCTCCACTCGTTACCTGTATTATTGGCACCTGTTTGAACTTGTTATCAGTATAAAAGACACCTGTCCACAACCTCAAACAGTCACACTCCAAACTCCACTATGGCCAAGACCAAAGAGCTGTCAAAGGACACCAGAAACAAAATTGTAGACCTGCACCAGGCTGGGAAGACTGAATCTGCAATAGGTAAGCAGCTTGGTTTGAAGAAATCAACTGTGGGAGCAATTATTAGGAAATGGAAGACATACAAGACCACTGATAATCTCCCTCGATCTGGGGCTCCACGCAAGATCTCACCCCGTGGGGTCAAAATGATCACAAGAACGGTGAGCAAAAATCCCAGAACCACACGGGGGGACCTAGTGAATGACCTGCAGAGAGCTGGGACCAAAGTAACAAAGCCTACCATCAGTAACACACTACGCCGCCAGGGACTCAAATCCTGCAGTGCCAGACGTGTCCCCAGTACATGTCCAGGCCCGTCTGAAGTTTGCTAGAGTGCATTTGGATGATCCAGAAGAGGATTGGGAGAATGTCATATGGTCAGATGAAACCAAAATATAACTTTTTGGTAAAAACAAACTCAAACTCGTGTTTGGAGGACAAAGAATGCTGAGTTGCATCCAAAGAACACCATACCTACTGTGAAGCAAGGGGGTGGAAACATCATGCTTTGGGGCTGTGTTTCTGCAAAGGGACCAGGACGACTGATCCGTGTAAAGGAAAGAATGAATGGGGCCATGTATCGTGAGATTTTGAGTGAAAACCTCCTTCCATCAGCAAGGGCATTGAAGATTAAACGTGGCTGGGTCTTTCAGCATGACAATGATCCCAAACACACCGCCCGGGCAACGAAGGAGTGGCTTCGTAAGAAGCATTTCAAGGTCCTGGAGTGGCCTAGCCAGTCTCCAGATCTCAATCCCATAGAAAATCTTTGGAGGGAGTTGAAAGTCCGTGTTGCCCAGCGACAGCCCCAAAACATCATTGCTCTAGAGGAGATCTGCATGGAGGAATGGGCCAAAATACCAGCAACAGTGTGTGAAAACCTTGTGAAGACTTACAGAAAACGTTTTACCTGTGTCATTGCCAACAAAGGGTATATAAAAAAGTATTAAGAAACTTTTGTTATTGACCAAATACTTATTTTCCACCATAATTTGCAAATAAATTCATTAAAAATCCTACAATGTGATTTTCTGGATTTTTTCCCCTCATTTTGTCTGTCATAGTTGACGTGTACTTATGATGAAAATTACAGGCCTCTCTCATCTTTTTAAGTGGGAGAACTTGCACAATTGGTGGCTGACTAAATACTTTTTTCCCCCCACTGTATATATATTCCAGACTCTTGACATTGCTCGTTCTGATATTTCTTAAGTTCTTTATTTTTAGGATTTGTGTGTATTGTATGGTATACCGCACTGTTGAAACTAGAAAGATAAGCATTTAGCTACCCCTGCGATATCTGCAAAATGTGTACGCGACCAATCAAATTTCATATAATTCCTGAAACAAACATGTAAGTAAATGTGTCGTTAATACCATGGCCTACACCAACTGTATCCACATGTGAACTTTGTCAACACAGATGCATCAACACCTATATTTGAGTGCAGATTCACATAGCCCACAATTTCTGTAAAATGTATCATGCCAAGATAATCCATCCACCTGACATGTGTGGCATATCAAGAAGCTGATTAAACAGCATGATCATTACACAGGTGCACCTTGTACTAGGGACAATAAAAGGCCACTTTAAAATGTGCAGTTTTGTCACACAACACGTCAAGTTTTGAGGGAGCGTGCAATTGGCATGCTGACTGCAGGAATGTCCACCAGAGCTGTTGCCAGATAATTTAATGTTTATTTCTCTACCATAAGCTGCCTCCAACATCGTTTTTGAGAATTTGGCAGTATGTCCAACCGGTCTCACAACCACAGACCACATGTAACCATGCCAGCCCAGAACCTCCACATCCGGCTTCTTCACCTGCGGGATCGTTTGAGGGGGGGCGTGGGGAGGTTGCTGAGGAGTATTTGTCTGTAATAAAGGCCTTTTGTGGGGAAAAACTCATTCTGATTGGCTGGGCCTGGCTCCCCAGTGGGTGGGCCTGGCTGCCAAGTGGGTGGGCCTTGGAGGGCTCCTGCCCAGTCATGTGAAATCCATAGATTAGGGCCTAATTTATTTATTTAAATTGATTGATTTCCTTATATGAACTGTAACTCAGTAAAATCTTTGAAATTGTTGCATGTTGCGTTTATATTTTTGTTCAGTATACATAGCCTATTACACAGTTTTCAGTAATAATGCACAAACAAAACAAAGAGCATGAGACAACGATAACTGACCATCCTACTGTAGGTACTGTGTTTGTAAATACATCATTGGGGAGTATTGGGGACACATCCAAAAAGTACATTTAGGTCAGAAAATCTATGACCAATGCATTGAGTGAAATATTGTAAAAGTATTTTATTCAATATTTTGTTTCAAGGCTGGGAAGTCAATGTGGAGATGTCTACTTGAAGTCCATTTTAGGGGAATGAATCTAAATTTAAAATGTTGGCATTTATACTAAACCATTTTTGGCTTCCAAAACTCGCCCGTACAATCGGATTCCATTCCAATACATCTACAATTCAACTATCTTCCAAAAAAAGAATGTCAGCCCTTCAGCATTATCCTTTGTAGATTGAAAAAACTGAGTTTCTATTTAAGACTGCAGTCCTTTAAAGTGTCCCGTGAAGAATTTGTACACAGCATGTACTTCGGCATCAGGATGTCAGCATATTTCATTGAAACTCTGCATCAGTCCCATTCACATAACAAAATAGTGAAAAAGAAAAATTCATGACTGTAAAACCAAGAACTGGAAGAGAGAATCCCTGGAAATCAAATCCCAGCTTTCTTGCATTCCACGTCAACCAGATGAGAGGTAGGGTGAGAAAATATTGAGCCTGGACAGAGAGAGGGACAGAGAGAGAGACAGAGGGGGGGAGGGGTGGACAGAGAGACCGGGGTGGATAAGGAACTCCAAAAATGTTGTGGTTGTTAGGACATCAGCCCACTGCTGTTGAATGGGCAAGCTGTTGTTAGTCCAGGAGAGCAGAGAGTAGACCGGCATTGTGGGCCGGACTGGCCAAAAGGTTGACTTGCTGGCTGACAGAGGACTGGAGGAGGAGAAAGTTCCCAAGGATAATGGGTGGAGAAAAAAAAGCTGTTGGACGGTAAAGAGAAAGACTAGGACTTCTTGGAGTCCTGTGTGTTGCGTTTCTTGAGGTCACTCAGGTCAACTGGTGTGAAAGCTGCAAGAAAGGATACAAATTACATTACTACTCTGTCTTTTTGACAAATCTAGTAAATAGCCTCTGTTTAAATGACAAACATACTCAGATCCATCAAGGCACTTACAATTTAAGTTGGGATTGGGGTTCTTTTCCACATACTCCTGTGGTCCACGGTCTTTGCGTTCACTGCTCTGTGGTGACCGGATGTCTCTGAGCACACACTGCCAGGCTGTAAAGAAGCATACACATGCCAGCTTTCAACCATCTCCTTACATACCACATTCCATTCAAATGGCTCAGTGGTACAGAAGCTCTGTAAGGAGCTTCTTACAGTGGATCATGTTGATGACCAACAGATAAGCCTACTGAAGGGGTGAGAGACGTTAAGGGCTAGTCTTAGCAAGATATCGGCCTTCTGAGGCAGACTCACTGTCGTGGATGAAGCGCACATTCTCCTCATGCGCTGGAGTGAAGAGCTCCCCACTGTTCGTAGGGGACCGAGGGCTGGAAGTCCGCTTGTAGCTGTTCACCATCCTGGGAGCAGATGAGCTATAAAGCAGCAAAGAAAAAAACATAAAAACAGCAGGAAATAATGAAAACACAATAACAGACAGGCTGGAAAACAGAACATACGTTTTTCTGGCATGCATGCAGTATACCTGGTTCTACAAGATACAGCTTGATATACAGTTAGCACAACACAACCATAGAAGGTAAACAACCCTCTTCCAACCTCATTCTGTGTGCAGTGCGTCTCTTGCTCCTTGCTCCTTTGTAATGAATAGTTGGGGGGGTTGAGAGAATATGAACCTCCTTTATCCTCTGTTGGATATCTAGTGGTGAAAACAAGGCATGACTCATGATGAATTCTAAATAAAGACAGCAATCACAAACAATAGAGGAATGTTGACATTTGGGAGCTAGCTAGCTAATACAGACTGCAAAATATAGTTACTTAACTAACTATACAGCCAGAAAGCTACATTTGATGCCACACTATCGGCATTCGCTTGCTTATTGATGTTAGTTATGCTTCAATGTTTACATTTTTGTATCTGGCACTTACACAAGCGAGTTAGCTAACGTTAGCTAAGACAGCGAACAAGCAATTATACTAGCCAACTTATATTGACCAGCGACTCGTAAAATATAAAGCACCTAGCTAGCTAGCTTGCTATCTAACTTTACCCAATATCGTATATTTTAATTTATTGCAATTTTTGTTGGTTAGAAATTAGCTTGCTGTTGAAGTAGTGGCTGACAGATAAAGGATAACTAGCTTATTAGGTACCATAACGTTAGCTATCTAGCGAATGTTAGCTACACGTTATCATCTAATATTATTAGCTAAGCCATTTAGCTAGCTGAATATATCCAGACAATAGTACAACTTAAATGTTTCCAACAGCAGTGGCATATGAATTCATAACACTATAGTTAGCTTACTATAATCCGAAAATTACCCAGATGTAAACTATGTTTACAAACCTGTCTTTAGATCCGGCTTCCTTTCGCTTTCTTTATTCAGCCAACAAGATGTAACTAGCTAGCTAGGCCTCCCGTTGGCTAAAACGGTTGCCAATGCCAACCAATCATTTCTGGCAAGTAATTTAAAACGGAAGTCAACAAAACTTATAATTGGTTTGTTGGTTGAAAATAATGTTGAAATGCCAAAGGAATGCTTCTATGAATGGAATGCCCACCCCAACATCTACCCTCTCCGCTCGGGTCTTTTTGATACTTTAATAAAACAGACCATGGACCTGCTTACGAAGGTAGCAGAAAAAGCATGGCTAAAAATACTCTTACCCGAGTTCATAGGCCCGGAAAAAAAAAACGCACACTAGTAATAAAAAATATCGCCTAGCCCTAGTCAGACCATTACTGTTCCAGCTGGCTTATAGGCGTTATTAGGTAGGTAATGTTAAGTGTAGCACAGACAATTTTCGATCAATTTGGCGATGCTTCCTCAGTTCCTGAATTGGAAGACAACGCATGTCTAATAAATGACCATGTCTAATTGCAGGGGGTTCGTTTGAATTGAGAAAATGCTCCATTATTACATGAAATACAAAAAAATGCTCCATGAAGTAATCCAACAATGTGTGCACTACCATCTTGTCTGTTTAAAATATTCTCATTGATTGAGAAAGCTGCCTTTCACAGTTTGGAAAGTGCATTGCACATTTGTTCAAAAGAAAAAGAAATTGCACCGCCATGTAACCCTATGGGTGTGTTCGTAAATTCAATCTGGAGTGCCAGAGTGCGCTCTGAGCGTTCAGGCGAGCGCACACTGGACGCTCTATACAGGGAGGACCAGTACCTGGTAGATGTGTACTGTACATATAGGTAGGGGTAAAGTGACTAGGCAACAGGATAGCTAATAGACAGTAGTAACAGTGTATGTGGCACAGGAGGCTACTGAGGGGAGGATGGCTTATAATACATTTTACATTTAGCAGACGCTCTTATCCAGAGCGACTTACACAAGCAATTCGGGTTAAGTGCCTTGCTCAAGGGCACATCGACAGATTTATCACCTAGTCGGCTCGGGGATTAGAACCAGCGACCTTACTGGTATAACGCTCTTAACCACTAAGCTTCCTGCCGCCCCATAATAATGTCCGAAACGGAGTAAATGGAATGGCATCAAACACATGGAAACTATGTGTTTGATGTATTTAATACTATTCCACTGATTCCGTTCCAGCCATTACCACAAGTCCGTCCTCCCCAATTAAGGTGCCACCAACCTCCTGTGGTTTGTGGTAAGTGTGTGTGTGGTGTCAGTATGCATGTGTGTGCATGTTGTGTGTGTGTGTGCGTATGTAGTGCCTGTAGGTTGGGATGTCAGTGTAAGTATGTGTGAGTGTGTGTGTAGAGTCCAGTGTGTGTGCATAGAGTCAGTGCAAGAGAGTTAGTGCAAAAAAGGGTCATTGCAGGTAGTCCGGGTAACCATTTGATTAGCTATTTAGCAGTCGTTTAGAAGTCTGATGGCTTGGGGGTAGAAGCTGTTCATGGTCCTGTTGGTTCCAGACTTGGTGCATTGGTACCGCTTGTCGTGCGATAGCAGAGAGAGCAGTCCGTGGCTCGGGTAGCTGGAGAGTTTGACAATTTTTGGTACCTTCCTCTTACACCGCCTGGTATAGAGATCCTGGATGACAGGAAGCTCAGCCCCAGTGATGTACTGGGCCGTACGCAGTACCCTCTGTAACGCCTTGCGGTCGGATGCCAAGCAGTTGCCATACCAAGCGGTGATGCAGCCAGTCAAGATGATCTCGATGGTGCAGCTGTATAACTTTTTGAGGATCTGAGGGCCTATGCCAAATATTTTCAGCCTCCTGAGGGGGAAGAGGCGTTGTTCTGCCCTCTTCACTACTGTGTTGGTGTATTTGGACCATGATAGATCCTTAGTGTTGTGGACACTGAGGAACTTGAAGCTCGGCCCCCCCCCCCCCTTTCCTGTAGTCCACGATCAGCTCCTTTTTCTTACTGACGTTGAGGGAGAGATTGTCGTCCTGACACCACACTGCCAGGTCTCTGACCTCCTCCCTATAGGCTCCCTATCATTGTCGTCGGTGATCAGGCCTACCACCGTCGTGTCATCTGCAAACTTAATGATGGTGTTGGAGTCGTCCGCGGCCACGCAGTCGTGGGTGAACAGGGAGTACAGGAGGGAACTAAGCACACACCCCTGAGGGGCCCCGTGTTGAGGGTCAGCGTGGCGGATATGTTGTTGCCTACCCTCACCATCTGGGGGCGGCCTGTCAGGAAGCCCAGGATTCAGTTGCAGAGGGAGGTGTTCAGTCCCAGGGACGTTAGCTTAGTGATGAGCTCAAGTTTTCTGCCCTCTAGTTGCACAGGTGACGTGCTGGTAGAAATGAGGTAAAACGGATTTCAGTTTTCCTGCATTAAAATTACGGCCAGTAGGAGTGCTGCCTCTGGATGAGCTAGTTCTTGTTGGCTTATGGTCCTATATAGCTCATTGAGTGCGGTCTTAGTGCCAGCATCGGTTTGTGGTAGTAAATATAAATACTCACAGGGATCCTCTCAGGCTCCCTCACCCTTTGCCCACCAACCTCTACTTTCCTCACTGTCTCATATGAAACTTTCTGCTCTGCTCTCACCCTGGAAACTTAAATCTGTCCCCATCCCCCATGCACACTTCTCACATCTCGGAATCTCCCTCCTACATACTGCTGCAACATGACCATAAACTTGGCACCTGAAACAATGTAGTGTGTTCAGAACAAAAGCTCTCAACCGGAAAACGTATATACCCTAGCATGACTTTATCCGGCAAACACTCTGGTCTGCGTCACACCAAATGACATGCATCACAGACACCGGGGACCCCCAACTTCAGTTGATCCACCTTCACACTCAACCCCACCCCAGTTATCACTCCTTTCAGTGGCGCTCTTCTCCGGAGAGCAAAGCAGGACAACGCTTTCGTCCCGAGACTAGAAATGCGCAACAACCTCTCCCTCTGAGCAGCAGACACACAAAAAATCAACACAAGTCCACCTCTGGATACTTGCACCAAACTTCTTCACTCAGCCTGATACCACAAACGGATTGGCCAAAAGGCATGGATCCACTTTCTCCACAAATCGTACTCCCACTGGGCCAGAGTCATCTCAGGCATTTTCCTGATCATTGGGGTGAGGCTTGGAAGCCTTCACCTCACCTGACGACGCAGGTTCTTTCTCCTCACTTTTGTCAGGATCAATTTCAAGTTCATTATCCGTTGACTGCTCAGGATCTTCAGGTGCGTAACCTGCATTTCTCTGCTATACTTGACCCAAAGGAGAAAGTACTCGGCTTGTATTTCACCGTCAGTTCAGGTTTGCACCTCGCGCCCTTCTTTCTGCCTCGTTCTTCTCGCCATCCGTCCTCTTGCTCACCCGGTCATCCGACAAAGGTGTGTTACCACGTTCAAAACGTATTCTTATTCGTGTGGTTTTCCGGCAGGGTAGACACTGTGTTGTGTATTGCTGCCTTTTCGCAGGTCGGAGTGCAGATTGCACATTTTGGTCACAAACAAAAAAGGGAAAAGGGGAATGGGAAAATCTTAAATTGCACCACCAACTAACCCTGCACCTATACACTATCCCCAAAAACCCATCACCCCATCCAACTACTGGCTCTAAACGATCCTACACCAGACCGTAGGCCTGGGAGGATGGAACCACTTCTCTCAAAATTTCCTGTAAATCTTCTGCACTAAAATATTTCACACCAAATACTTCTCTGCTGCTGCAACTACCACATCTATCTTCTGTGATTTTCACTCCATCAGCGCAGTGCAGTTGATCACCATGGCTATAAACGGAAGAAATCCAACCTTACTAAAACTCATCCTCTCTGGATCCCTCTCTTCAGACCTACTCACTGGGGGGCTCCCAGTCGAAGCTCTGTGTCAAAGCTCAAAAAGATAGACAGTCTCACCAAATGGAGGGCATCACAAACACCAGGAATATATTTTTTACATTTGCTCCACCTCTACACTCAACGCTACCCCAATGACCACCCCTTTGAGCAAAGCACGACACAGGTTGAGCCCAGCGTCGCGTGACGCAAAATGCAGAGGATATACAAAAAATCGAAACAATTCAATTTCTCTAAACTTTCACAGAGTAACCAATCCCAGTTTGTTACCCAGCTTGACACTATGTATGGGTTGACCAAAAAGCAGGAATCCCCTCTTTCCAAAAATCTCACTCCTACCGGTCCACTCATCTCCGGTAGGATTCACGGGGCAAATGTTGGAAGTCTCTACCACACTTGTCGCCACAGGTAGGCCCACTTCATCCTGGTCTGGATCAACTTCAGAGCGCTCACCACTGCCGACTGACTCCATTTCGAGATCCTCAAGGTTCTCAAGATAGCATGTAGACGTATAAGTAAGTTTACTTGGCTTGTATTCAGGAAACAAAGGTATTTACTCAGGTGACGAAAGTGTGTACACAGGAGACGTGTCATTGCACTTTGTTTCCAATCCTACTGCCTCGTTCTCAATGTGAGGAGGAAACCTCCCGCATTCAAAACAACTGGGAACTTCAAAATCTCCGACTTCCGACTTCAGTGCGTTCAAGACAATTTACAATTGAGTCATTTAGCAGACGCTCTTACTCACAGCTAGTGAGTGCATACATTTTCCATACTGGCCTCCCGTGGGAAATGAACCCACAACCCTGGCGTTGCAAGCGCCATGCTCTACCAACTGAGCTACAGGAGGCCAACTGGGAACACTGAAATAACTAGCTCCAACTGGGAAAAATAGTTTTGAACGGTTATCAAACTCGGATTTCCAAGTGGGAATTCAGACATCTTTCTAAAGCTTGGACCATCCGACCTGAAGATCACTGACGTCATAATTTGACCTTGTTTTCTTTTCCGAGTTCCCAGTTGTCTTGAAAGTACCATGTGTTCACCCCTAAGTGCTGCATGTCATGATGACATTCACCTGTCTCGATCATCATCATGAGAGAAGATTTGAAATAGACAAGATGGCAGCGTACACATTGTTGGATAACTTCATGGAGTTAAACATTTATTTTATTTAATAATGGAGAATTTTCTAAATTCAAACGAACCCCCTGCAACTAGACATGGAAGTTTAAAAGACGTGTTGTCTTCCAAGTCTGGCATTGAGGAAATATCGGCAAGTAAAGGTTGGTCGAAAATTCACTGTGCTATGCTTAACATTACCTACCTAATAACGCCTATCAGCCAGCTGGAACAGTAATAATGGTCTGACTAGGCAATATTTTTAATAGCTACATGCACCCATCATCCCCTGTCTGTAGTAGGCTAATGAGCAAAAAGAGCAATGAACTTTACAAGGAGGGATGTACAAATATTGGCAACTGGAAGGTGTTGGCTTCTGTTAATTTTCTCCTTTCAAGGATCTGACAAAACTTATTAAGTAAATGCTAGGACAGAGGCTGGATAGGTTTTCGATCCTCTCTGTCTCTCTCTTATCTTGCTTTCATCCAGGCTTTTGTTTTGTGAAGGGAATGATGTCATAAGATAAACAATTTTTTAAAGTTTGAGGATTTAAATTATTTCCAGTTGTCCACTTACCCCAAATCATATTTCCATAGAATTCTCTCCGGTGAATTTCTTATAATTAGGCCTCTACATTGAGTTCTGTACCTTGGTTTTCAGTCAGTTCCACAATTAGGCCTACCATTCTGTCAAATGTCTTCAAGAGATTTGTATTCCTCTAAATTCAATTTCCCCCATTTCCATTAGGCCCAGAAATCCCAAATCCACCCCTTCCCCTCGCCTCTTGGCTTTCCTAGCACGATCATGCGCACCTCAGCTATATGCACAAGTGGCCCAAAGATGAGGGAGTGAAAATTATGGAGGGTGAAGGGGCTAATTAGACCCTCCAATAGCCACTTCGTTAGCTATGCTCCTGGCTTTGGAGCGAAGTGCTATCCCATAACGCACCGCACCGAGTTTGTGCAATTTCACACAACAGAATGGAGAGTCTGCCTAATTGTGAGCCACCTGTATTCGTTTGTCTGATTTGAAGCTGGACAAATGTAACATGAAATAGCTCTCAAAATAAATGTTTTCTCATTGGAAGAAACATGATGGAATTTTGTCATTAGAATTGTATGCTTGTTTTATTATATACCTGTGGAATTGCATCATTCAAGTCAGGAGTGTGTCCCGAAGTCGATGGGTTTATTTGATCCCCTCACCACTCTTGGAATTTCGTCAGTAACACGTTAAAACTGAGGGCCCTACGAATGAGTTAGTTGGTAGGGGTGAGGGCCTGGTTTGGGATTCACCGTACGAGTTGAGGGTCATTCAAGTGAAACTTCCAAGTTGAAACTCCACACTTCAGATATTTAAGCCTAAGTATAAACCTCAAGTTCATATGAAATGACTGTTTAAAAAACGTAAAAACGTTATTTGAATGAAATGAGGTGAATTTGCAGCTCGTTACCCTTTTCCTCTAGAAGTAAATTAACAGGTAATGCTTATCATAACCTATATTAGGCTACATATATTTTTCCATCAAGGGTCAATAAGTGAGATAGAAAAGAGTTGAATCCCCACCAATTCATTTCATCAATATTTACAAAAAGCACCTTTATTTATGAAAATATTTTGTACAAAAAAGATAAACAAGTAAGACTTTCATTGGTGAAATTCATTAGATTAGCTGAAATGGTCAGAATACCACTTACACTTTCAGCAACACTTTGAACTATTTCAGAAAATAACAACAGCCGAGCATAATAGGAAAAATGCCAATACAGCAGCACAAGTGCCTGTATGGCATAGTAGCTATTTTCCGATGATCTCTGGCCTACCAAATGAAATGTCATTTTTGATGTGAATTGTTGTTGACGCCCTCTCTCTGCTCAGCAGAGAAGATACACACAACTTTTTCTAAGCCAAAAACACACAGGTTAAATGCAGAGAACAATGCCAAATACAGTCTGTACTCTGTCTGTACTTTTGGAAGCAGTGAGTTGAAAATAGTCTCTGCCCATGTGCAGGAACTATCCTCAATGCTGGGTAGTTTTGTGGAAAATTCAAGCAATGGACAGTCAGATTTGTACAAGATTGATCACAGAATTGGGCTGGGTGATCTCATTGGGTAATCAGAATGAAGACATACCCTATTGATTCATTACACAGATTAAATAACAACTGTTTACTGTGGTGTGTCACTGTCTTTTTTGGTATGTGGTGCTACATGATCTGGGAAACTAAAAGCTGCTGGTGCTATGAACAGCCTGAGATGCTGTTTGTGACAACTAAAGTGACAAGACTGGTTTGCATGTTTTTGTAGAAAAGAACCAAACAAAAAGTAGCCAACTTCTTTCAAGCAAAGAAGGAAAAAGATACAAAAAATAATAACCTTTACAAAGCATAGTCCAACATGAAATACAAAACCTCTCCAAAAAGCATTGTGTGTCACGATTATGCATTTAGCAAAGAGTAGGCTACAAGTGCTCTGTAGCAGGAAAAGTGGCCTGGTCCCTTGTCCCAGTCTTTCTCCTTCTCTCTGGCTGGGCTTTTCCATTCCAAGAAGCTAGTCTCAGGACCAGGGCACACTGTCCATCTGTCCACATCAAGCTCCTTCAGGTCCTGTCCTGTAGGTGGCCAGTGAGTTACACACAGCCTGCCTCAAACAGATTGACCAGCTCCTTACAGTCTGGGTCAATGAGGTCCACTGGCTTCTCCCCGTTCTCGTTCTCCGCCGCTGCACTGGCACCAAGAGAGAGCAGGTAGCTAAGGAGGGACAAAATACAGTGTTGTTCAGCACAAGTCACATTCACACAAGGCATCATCTTCATTGTCTATATTCACACTGGCTATGAAATGCTGCATGTCTGGTTCAATCAGGTCACCGAGGTCAGTATGGTTAGCTAATCACTACCTGCCTTTTGTCAGAATAGTTATTTCTCAAAGAGGCAGCAATGTTGCATGATAGAAGCCATTAGATCAATTGAATGTTGTGTTTTGTGGTATCCGTATGTTTTATGAGTTTGTGTTTCATTTGTACACCAACCTGGCGATTTCGGGGAAGCCGTCACTGCAGGCCATGTGTAGCGGCGTCCAGCCGTCCTCATCTCTCTGGTGGACATCAGCTCCATATCTCACCAGCAGCTTCACGCAATCCAGGTTCCCTGTGAGTACGGCCTCATGGAGCGCTGCCATACCTGCACACAGAGCACCATACATGGGCCCAGTCAGAGGAGGGCTCAGCTGCACTGTACACACCCTTACACTGCTCTTCTGTCATTTCAACCCCTGCTTTTAACTTCAGAACTTTTCTGAACTTTCACTGTGCATTTGTCAAACAATTATTTAGAGCCTTTATGCTTTTACTGGTTTAGAATATAGATATATATTTAGAAAATAAATTAGACCCTTTAACTTCTCAGTAGTTTTATATTTGTCAACACAATATCACAATTTACTCCGGAAAATAAGGCGTAGTAGTTTGTGACTATGTTTTCATGCAGACAGTTGTAGGTGCCATTGCCTGCTGTGGTAACTCTCAACACTTTTCCTCTGTCTTTATCTATTTGTAGGTTCACTCACCAGATGGGAAGAGGGTATGCAGACGTACTTTCCTCGCTCTCATAAAGCGTCCAATCTGCTCCATCTCACCATGTCGGACACAGTCCTGGAAGATAATGTCATTGGAGAAGTGTACAGCCCGGACTGGCTTGAGTGGTAGAGGTGCAGGAGTCTGCTGTGCAGGTATGTGTGTTGTGCGACGTGTAGCAGCACTATAGTGTGTTCCTTTGCTGTATGAAGGGGTGTAACTGGAAGTGGTTTTGTGTGTAGGTGTGTAAAGTGATGGGGTGTAGCTTGTGGGGGTGTAGTGAGTTGAGCTGTACTTCGTTGGGGTATATGAAGTGGGGGTGTATTTGGTGGGGGTGTAGTGCGTAGGTGTGTAATTGGTGGGGGTGTAGTGCGTAGGAGTGTAATTGGTGGGGGTGTAGTGCGTAGGTGTGTAATTGGTGGGGGTGTAGTGCGTAGGTGTGTAATTGGTGGGGGTGTAGTGCGTTGGTGTGTATGTCATTGGTGTGTACTGACTATATCGCGTGGTGTACGATGACACTGGTAGCTGGTAGCTGTACTTCATCCCTGCGGTCAACACGGTTCTTCCTCCCCCTATGCGCTCAGCCCAGGAGGAGGGGTGGGAAAAATCCAAGAAAACTTTGCAATCCAGTCAGGGCAAACAAATTCCTTTGTCCTTTCCACGCTTATCGTCCTTGACTTTTCTCACTTCCTTCTGATCCTTGAGTTTCCAACCAGAGTAGCACGTCTCGTCTCACTGGCCAAACATCCTCTTTGTATGTCTTTCTTTCCTTCTGGTTCTCCGGATTTCTCCCTCGTGCCTCCTGTCTTATTTCTCCTGTCTTTTGGTATTTCACTACAGTATCCTCTGGCTTTGTACAGGCTGGTGGTCTGATGGAGCAGGTGGGAGAGGGTCCCTATATACACTCTAGAGGGCTATTTTGGGGCCCATGATCCCTCATATCGAGTGACTTCAGCTTGGAGCGGATTGGCCTCTGCCAGACACTGCCTCCACCCCTAACCCCATAAAACACAGTGACAGCCACAAGAAGAGGTATTCAACCAAGCACAAACACATTGGGATCTTTATGAAGCTTGCCCAACATGTCTAATACCACATCAACATCAAAATGTTCATGATCAACATCAGCAGAAGAACAAACTGTCGTTAACAGTGTTATGGCCCCTGGGTACAGGTCAGGCAGCCTTTTTTGGAATTTCGCAAGCGACAGCACTGACACATGGTCATGGTGGTCAACAGTGTGAGAGTCACATCAGGAGGGCAAACAGTTTTTAAACGTTTATGGAATCAGGCATGAGGGATTCATGCAGTGTACTCTATGTATGACAGCTGTTGTGACATAAAAGTCTCACCATATTTACATTTACATTTACATCATTTGGCAGACGCTCTTATCCAGAGCGACTTACAAATTGGTGCATTCAACTTATGATAGCCAGTGGGACAACCACCTTTTTTTATTTTATTTTTTATTTTTTATGGGGGGTAGGGGAAGAATGATTACTTTATACTATTCCAGGTATTCCTTAAAGAGGTAGGGTTTCAAGTGTCTCCAGAAGGTGGTCAGTGACTCTGCTGTCCTGGCGTCGTGGGGGAGCTTGTTCCACCATTGGGATGCCAGAGCAGCGAATAGCTTTGACTGGGCTGAGCGGGAACTGTGCTTCCGTAGAGGTAGGGGAGCTAGCAGGCCAGAGGTGGATGAACGTAGTGCCCTCGTTTGGGTGTAGGGTCTGATCAGAGCCTGAAGGTAAGGAGGTGCCGTTCCCCTCACAGGCCAGAGGTGGATGAACGTAGTGCCCTCGTTTGGGTGTAGGGTCTGATCAGAGCCTGAAGGTAAGGAGGTGCCGTTCCCCTCACAGCTCCGTAGGCAACCACCATGGTCTTGTAGTAGATGCGAGCCTCAACTGGAAGCCAGTGGAGTGTGCGGAGGAGCGGGGTGACATGAGAGAACTTGGGAAGGTTGAATACCAGACGGGCTGCAGCGTTCTGGATAAGTTGTAGGGGTTTAATGGCACAGGCAGGGAGCCCAGCCAACAGCGAGTTGCAGTAATCCAGACGGGAGATGACAAGTGCCTGGATTAGGACCTGTGCCGCTTTCTGTGTAAGGTAGGGTCGTACTCTGCGAATGTTGTAGAGCATGAACCTGCAGGATCGGGTCATCGCTTTGATGTTAGCGGAGAACAACAGGGTGTTGTCCAGGGTCACGCCAAGGTTCTTTGCACTCTGGGAGGAGGACACAATGGAGTTGTCAACCGTGATGGTGAGATCATGGAGCGGCAGTCCTTCCCCGGGAGGAAGAGCAGCTCCGTCTTGCTGAGGTTCAGCTTGAGGTGGTGATCCGACATCCACACTGATATGTCTGCCAGACATGCAGAGATGCGATTCGCCACCTGGTTATCAGAAGGGGGAAAGGAGAAAATTAATTGTGTGTCATCTGCGTAGCAATGATAGGAGAGACCATGTGAGGATATGACAGAGCCAAGTGACTTGGTGTATAGAGAGAATAGGAGAGGGCCTAGAACTGAGCCCTGGGGGACACCAGTGGTGAGAGCACGTGGTGCGGAGACAGATTCTCGCCACGCCACCTGGTAGGAGCGACCTGTCAGGTCGCAATTCAAGAGTGAGCAGCGCCGGAGATGCCCAACCAGATGCCCTACCATATCTAGTCAGATGTTGTTTGGTTGGCTAATATGCGATTTTCAGAATCAGTTTGCCGGTGCAACATTTTGTGTTTGTTACTTCGGAAGGGTTCAAGAACTCTCGCCTCAAAACAACAAAAACCTGAATACTTGAACTATTTCAACCGAGGTAATGTACGAGAATTTAGGACACATGATATTTGACATGAAGAAAATAGCAGACAAACTGTCACGCCCTGGCTCTGGGGACTCTAATATGTTGAGCCAGGGTGTGTAAAGTCTATGTGTTTTGTTCTAGGTTTCACTTTCTAGTATTGTTGTTCTATGTTGGCCAGTGTGGTTCTCAATCAGAGGCAACGTGATTCAGCTGTTGCTTGTTGTCTCTGATTGAGAACCATACTTTAGCAGCCTGTTTCCCCACAGAGTTTGTGGGATCTTGTTTCGAGTCTGTTGGGTTAGACCGTGAACTGTCACGTTTTCGTTTTGTGGTTTTTGATCGTGTCTCTAATAAAGAGTATGTTTGCCTGCAACGCTGCGCCTTGGTCCTCATCTCTGTTCGACGAACGTGACAGAAGATCCCACCAAGACTGGACCAAGCAGCAAGTCCAGGAGCCAGCGCCTGAGAGATCTCTAGCGGATCTCCTTTGCCTCCTCGACTGGGTCAAGCCATGTGAGGAAGAGAGGGGCTTGACGTGGAGGCAGAAGGGCGAAAGGCTGGCGAGAAGCATGGAGACCTGGTCCACGGGTAGGAGTGAAGCCCATACATTTTTTAGGGGGGGGCTAACGCCGTGGACGACGGGGCAGCAGGAGGCCGCCGGGTTACGGGAGTCACTGGTCACCAGGGGGAAGGAGGATGTAGAGGCACGGCGAGAGGTACTGGCGTGTGTTGCCAGTCCGGTCCGGCCTGTTCCTGATCCCCACGTAGGGCCAGTGGTGTGTGTTCCCAGTACGGTCCGGCCTGTTCCTGCCACTCGCACCAAGTCTACGGGGCGCGTCGCCAGCTCGGCCCGGCCTGTTCCTGCTCCCCGCACCAAGTCTGTGGTGTGCGTCGCCAGCCCAGTCCGGCCCATTCCTGCTCCCCGCACCAAGTCAGTGGTGCATTTCGTCAGCCCTGTCCGGCCATTCCTGCTCCCCGCACCAAGTCAGTGGTGCGTTTCGTCAGCCCTGTCCGGCCCGTTCCTGCTCCCCGCACCAAGTCAGTGGTGCGCGTCGTCAGCCCGGTCCGGCCCATTCCTGCTCCCCGCACCAAGTCAGTGGTGCGCGTCGTCAGCCCGGTCCGGCCCATTCCTGCTCCCCGCACCAAGTCAGTGGTGTGTTTCGTCAGCCCAGCTCGGCCCGTTCCTGCTCCCCGCACCAAGTCAGTGGTGCGCTTCATCAGCCCGGCACGGCCCGTTCCTGCTCCCCGCACCAAGTCAGTGGTGCCCTTCGTCAGCCCGGCACGGCCCGTTCCTGCTCCCCGCACCAAGTCAGTGGTGCGCTTCGTCAGCCCGGTCCGGCCCGCTCCTGCTCCCCGCACCAAGTCAGTGGTGCGTTTCGTCAGCCCGGCTCGGCCCGCTCCTGCTCCCCACACCAAGCCAGTGGTGTGCGTCGTCAGTCCGGCACGGCCCGTGCCTGTTCCACCGGTGGCTGGTCCGGCACCGGTCAGATGCTTCACGCCGGAGCTAGAGCAATCCGCTCCACCAGTGTGCAGTCCAGCTCCGGCCAGCGGGGCCAGACCGGACCAGGGGTACTTTGGGGGGTTGGAGCGGGGATCAGGCCCGAAGCCGGATCCGCCGCCTAAGCGGAGTGCCCACCCGGTCCCTCCCCTGTGGTATTTGGTGGGCGCGGTCGGAGTCCGCGCCTTTAGGGGGGGGGTACTGTCACGCCCTGGCTCTGGGGACTGTAAAGTCTATGTGTTTTGTGTAAAGTCTATGTGTTTTGTGTAAAGTCTATGTGTTTTGTTCTAGGTTTCACTTTCTAGTATTGTTGTTCTATGTTGGCCAGTGTGGTTCTCAATCAGAGGCAACGTGATTCAGCTGTTGCTTGTTGTCTCTGATTGAGAACCATACTTTAGCAGCCTGTTTCCCCACAGAGTTTGTGGGATCTTGTTTCGAGTCTGTTGGGTTAGACCGTGAACTGTCACGTTTTCGTTTTGTGGTTTTTGATCGTGTCTCTAATAAAGAGTATGTTTGCCTGCAACGCTGCGCCTTGGTCCTCATCTCTGTTCAACGAACGTGACACAAACAAGGTCTTCAAAAGTTATTTTCTTTGCCATGAAAGGATAACATACTTTTTATTTCATTTAACTATCTATTCTTATTGTGACAGGTCTTGAAACTTTGGAAGGATCAATATTTTGACTGTAGCCTCTCTGCTATTAGAGCAAACAGAAACCCCATCACATGGTTGACATCTGATCTACACTCACTCACTTGCCTGGACCCATTGGACCAATAGTATCCTGCCATACTGGACGTTCAGGACCCACTGGGCCAATAGCATCCAGCCATTCAGGGAGTTCAGTGCAGGAGCGCAGTCTTGGCCAACTGTTGTGTCATAGGGACATGAATCTATGCTGCTAAATGTAACCCATCTCTCTAGATGGCATTAAAAGGTCAGATGGTTTGGTTTAAAAAAGAAGGCCCTTTACAGTGATCTGTGTGACCTTCAAAAATATTGGAAAATCTGATTAGCTCAAATTCCCTAAAAATAAACAACAGTAAGAGTGTCCCAAAGCAATGTTTTGAAATGTAGTACAGATGGTACTGTGGTTACTCCGTTTTCATATCATATGATTTTGTGAGTTGGAAGTTGGAAGTTGTGCATGTGAACCGTGCCAGCCGGGACATTGTGCCAGTGCCAGCTGTTCTCAGCAGGCAGGCAGGAACTTTTAAGAGTGGCAGAGCTGGTTCAAGCTGGATTTCAAAGGCTTTTGACTTTTCACAGGAGCTGCTCCGTGGCCAAGGAAAATAGTATGGCTACCATCCCACTGGTTTTCTCTTACCAAGCTCGCAGGGTAGACTTTTCTGTGCCCTAAGGGGCAACCTTTATGGTTGACTAGAATCCACTACACAGGCTTCATCTTACTACCAGGCCTGGCTTGAGAAGCAATACAGCCTACTGTAATTTACATCCTGTTATATGCGTCCTACATTGTCATACGGTACAATTCCACTATAAGGATCCACTGGCTCACCTACCATCAACATTTTTACATTTTTACATTTTAGTCATTTAGCAGACGCTCTTATCCAGAGCGACTTACAGTTAGTGAATGCATACATGTTTTTAAATGTTTTATTCATACTGGCCCCCCGTGGGAAACAAACCCACATCCCTGCCGGCCAAACCCTCCCCTACCTTGGACGACGCTGGACCAATTGTGCACCGCCCAAGGCTTATGTTATATCACATCATGGCACATTGTCAGTACAGTGACGGAGGACATAAAAGCTTGTTGTAAAACCATCCTTCTTCCAGAACAGTTGATTGTAATTAGGGGTTTGTGTATTCAGTTACAAAGAAATGAAGTTACATACATCCATTAACTCCATTCATTAACTAATTGGAGGGGCCCTTTTTAAACTCATTATGATTAGCTACATTTGGATTGGCACTGTACGGGTGACTTTACCTTCGGATTACAACTGACGCTGGCCCTGAACATAAACACAAATCTCCACCCAGCACAGCTGGCCATTCTGCACAGAGGAGCTGGTGAAAAAGAGTCTTTGAGCTCATGTCTAGACAAATTGAGGTGAGAGTAATTTCTAACCGCAGCTCGGGAGAAGAGACTTTATACACTGACTATCGAGTTCCCCAGTCTCTCATAAGGAAGTGTGGTGAGAGGGTGGTGGAGTTCCATGAACTATGGCGCTACCCCGTCCCAAAGCCCCTACCCACCCAAGACTGAGAAGGGCCTCGGTTAGTGGGAGTTTCTATTTTTTTCCTTTTTAGGGGGTAGATCAGCTTAATATTGCAGATAGATTGTAACTTCCATCAATGTAATTGTCTGCATCACTTCCAATCCCCCATGTTTTATATATATATATATACATACACATATATACAGTTATTTGTTTGTTGTCATCTTGCATCACCCTTGGATACATGCCAAAAGGAGTGCTCACGTGATCTGTAGGGGTTGAATCACCCTCCATTCAGAGTGCTATACATAGATACAGGCCCTCCTCCCGCATGCCCTATAGGGCATACTGTCAATTACCACCAAGCATTTCCCTGTTAAAAGAATCCTGGTGTGTGAATCGCCGTAGTGTTTCAAGTTTCAAGTTAGTAATCACTATAATCACTATAGCAATTGCGTATGTGGTGAGTGGGTGTGTGCATGGTGATGAGTGTAAGTGTGTGGTGTCAGTAGTGAGTGTGTGGGTGCGTGTGTGTGTGTGTTTGTATGCGTGTGTGAGAAGAGTGTCTGTGTAGGCGTGTGTGCCTTAGTGGGTAGACACCTATCGATGAGCATAGAGTCAGTGCAGGTAGTCAGTGAGGATAGTCCGTGGGAGAAAGGGAGGGCCGTGGTAGTTGTCTATTCAACAGTCTTATGGCTTAGGGAAAGAAGCTGTCTCTGAGCCTTTTGGTCCAAGACCCGATGCTCCGGTACTGCCTACCGGACGGGAGCAGAGAGAACAGTCCATGAGAACAGAGAGAACAGTCCATGTTTTCCTATTGCAGCTGTGTCATGAGTTTGGCTAAGCCTTTCTGTATGTAGTTTAAGATCTACACTACCAGTCAAAAGTTTGGACACACCTACTCATTCAAGGGGTTTTCTGTATTTTTACTATTTTTTACATTGTATAATAATAGTGATGACAGCAAAACTATGAAATAACACATATGGAATCATGTAGTAAACAAAAAAGTGTTAAACAAATCAAAGTATATTTTATATTTGAGAATCTTCAAATAGCCACCCTTTGCCTTGATGACAGCTTTGCACACTCTTGGCATTCTCTCAACCAGCTTTATGAGGTAGTCACCTGGAATGCATTTCAATTAACAGGTGTGCCTTCTTAAAAGTTAATTTGTGGAATTTATTTCCTTCGTAATGCATTTGAGCCAATCAGTTGTGTTGTGACAAGGTAGGGGGGGTCTACAGAAGATAGCCCTATTTGGTAAAAGACCAAGTCCATATTATGGCAAGAACAGCTCAAATAAGCAAAGAGAAACGACAGTCCATCATTACTTTAAGACATTAAGGTCAGTCAATACCTAACATTTCAAGAACTTTGAAAGTTTCTTGAAGTGCAGTCGCAAAAACCATCAAGCGCTATGATGAAACTGGCTCTCATGAGGACCGTGATATAAAATATATTTTGATTTGTTTAACACTTTTGTGGTTACTACATGATTCCATATGTGTTATTTCATAGTTTTGATGTCATCACTATTATTCTACAATGTAAAAAATAGTAAAAATACAGAAAAATCCTTGAATGAGTAGGTGTGTCCAAACTTTTGACTGGTACTGTATGTTATAATTTACCTGGCAATACATATTTTCCTTCTATAAATAAGCGGTTGAACAAGTCAAGTATCCGTACCCACTGCAAAGTATTTGGATCCTTATAAAGACAGACCTTCAATAACAGACCAAAGGTTTAGGACACAGCCGAGGACAGACAGTGGCATCGTGATGTTAACAACCTGTCAAATAGGCTTATCATGTGGACCGGACAGCTATGGATTTCAAAACACTTTGTTGTTGACTCTCATCAAGCCGGTGGCTGGACAGTTGGTGACTCACTCTCTAAATATGTTCAAGGTGAGACGAAACCATAGAAACCAGAACAATGAAACACCCAACGTCAGCAAAGATTTCACTTGAATTCAGAGAGGACTGTTCATAGGAAATTGGCTATTCCTGGATCTACACTGGAGCCCCCTGCTGTACCCCATTGTATGATTGACATACACATACTTTTCAGGATAATCCTCAGATTTTAGCATAGATACACTATGTACTATACAAAACATTAGGAACATGCTCTTTCCATGACATAGACTTACCAGGTGAATCGAGGTGAAAGCTATGATCCCTTATTGATGTCACCTGTTAAATCCACTTCAATCAGTGTAGATTGGGAGGAGACAGGTTAAATAAGGATTTTTAAACCTTGAGACAATTGAGACATGGATTGTGTATGTGTGCCATTCAGAAGGTGAATGGGAAAGACAAAATATTGAAGTGCCTTTGAACGGGTATGGTAGTAGGAGCCAAGCGCACCGGTTTCAGTGTGTCAAGAACTGCAACGCTGCTGGGTTTTTCATGCTCAACAGTTTCCTGTGTGTCAAGAATGGTCCAGCACCCAAAGGACATCCAGCCAACTTATCACAACGATGGGAAGCATTGGAGTCAACATGGGCCAGCATCCCTGTGGAACGCTTTCGACACCTTGTAGAGTCCATGCCCTGACGAATTGAGGCTGTTCTGAGGGCAAAAGGGAATGCAACTCAATATTAGGAAGGTGTTCCTAATGTTTTGTACACTCAGTGTATATTCTGAGCTTTGATTTATATCCCAAAATAGATTTTGAGGAGGACTAGGGCATGGGGCTGTCTGTAAAATGGAAACATTTTGCCAAGGTGGCAGACAGCATCCTTGTACTGATGATAGGGTGCCAGGTACCTCGTGTCTCCTGTGCATGGCATGATGAGCCTCTTCTCAGAACAGCCTGGCCTGCCCCAGTCACAGTGAGCCCCGTTGGTGGCAGCGCTATGCTCTCATCAGGGGGGCAGAGACAGGGAGCAGACTGACACACCTGGATTACTGGACAGTAAACACTGTGGGACTGGATCTCAGGCTGGATCCTCAGGCCCAGTGGGAGATACACGCTCGGCCGGCTGGATCCAGTTACGGCACGCGTGGCTTGGCCAGAATAGGAAACCTACATCTAAATCAGGAGCCAGTAATCCTCAGTCCTCACACAGGGAGCCTCCACCATGCCAGCAGCAATCACCAGTAACAGTGGCAGAAGTGTGAGACTGAATTGACAGCAGACAGCATGAGGTCATTTATAGCAGGGAAGTTTCCATGTTAGGAAACGTGATGAGAAAGCGTATCCATGGCTTCTCGATTTTCCCCCAACAACTGGTCGAGCCACACTTTTAGGGCCCTGAATATATCCCCCTAGATATAATAAAAAAATCCCCATCAAAATCAGTCAGTTTAAGTTAAAGATATCCAGGTTTTTTTTTGCATTGGATGCGTCTCAATCCACCGCATCCGCTGATGTCGCACTTCCACATCTGCGGTGAAAGGTGGCAGAGCTAGATTGGCCTTCTCACGAAAACGTCTGCAGCATCCGAATGGATGCTACAAACTATTATGACCACTCTATGGAAATTTGAGACTCTCACAAACATGATGGTGTTCTCCGTTTTGCTCTACGACCCCCACAAGTGTCACGGGACTCGTCTGAAGGTAACCGGTACCGGTTTAAAACATTAATGGAAGTATGAAGGTAGTTTTGTGCCTACCAAAAAATGGGGTTAAATGTATGTAAAAAATATATACAGTTGAAGTCGGAAGTCTACATACAGTGGTGAAAAAAAGTATTTAGTCAGCCACCAATTGTGCAAGTTCTCCCACTTAAAAAGATGAGAGAGGCCTGTAATTTTCATCATAGGTACACGTCAACTATGACAGACAAAATGAGAATAAAAAATCCAGAAAATCACATTGTAGGATTTTTTATGAATTTATTTGCAAATTATGGTGGAAAATAAGTATTTGGTCAATAACAAAAGTTTCTCAATACTTTGTTATATACCCTTTGTTGGCAATGACACAGGTCAAACGTTTTCTGTAAGTCTTCACAAGGTTTTCACACACTGTTGCTGGTATTTTGGCCCATTCCTTCATGCAGATCTCCTCTAGAGCAGTGATGTTTTGGGACTGTCGCTGGGCAACACAGACTTTCAACTCCCTCCAAAGATTTTCTATGGGGTTGAGATCTGGAGACTGGCTAGGCCACTCCAGGACCTTGAAATGCTTCTTACGAAGCCACTCCTTCGTTGCCCGGGCGGTGTGTTTGGGATCATTGTCATGCTGAAAGACCCAGCCACGTTTCATCTTCAATGCCCTTGCTGATGGAAGGAGGTTTTCACTCAAAATCTCACGATACATGGCCCCATTCATTCTTTCCTTTACACGGATCAGTCGTCCTGGTCCCTTTGCAGAAAAACAGCCCCAAAGCATGATGTTTCCACCCCCATGCTTCACAGTAGGTATGGTGTTCTTTGGATGCAACTCAGCATTATTTGTCCTCCAAACACGACGAGTTGAGTTTTTACCAAAAAGTTCTATTTTGGTTTCATCTGACCATATGACATTCTCCCAATCCTCTTCTGGATCTTCCAAATGCACTCTAGCAAACTTCAGACGGGCCTGGACATGTACTGGCTTAAGCAGGGGGACACGTCTGGCACTGCAGGATTTGAGTCCCTGGCGGCGTAGTGTGTTACTGATGGTAGACTTTGTTACTTTGGTCCCAGCTCTCTGCAGGTCATTCACTAGGTCCCCCCATGTGGTTCTGGGATTTTTGCTCACCGTTCTTGTGATCATTTTGACCCCACGGGGTGAGATCTTGCGTGGAGCCCCAGATCGAGGGAGATGATCAGTGGTCTTGTATGTCTTCCATTTCCTAATAATTGCTCCCACAGTTGATTTCTTCAAACCAAGCTGCTTACCTATTGCAGATTCAGTCTTCCCAGCCTGGTGCAGGTCTACAATTGTGTTTCTGGTGTCCTTTGACAGCTCTTTGGTCTTGGCCATAGTGGAGTTTGGAGTGTGACTGTTTGAGGTTGTGGACAGGTGTCTTTTATACTGATAACAAGTTCAAACAGGTGCCATTAATACAGGTAACGAGTGGAGGACAGAGGAGCCTCTTAAAGAAGAAGTTACAGGTCTGTGAGAGCCAGAAATCTTGCTTGTTTGTAGGTGACCAAATACTTATTTTCCACCATAATTTGCAAATAAATTCATTAAAAATCCTACAATGTGATTTTCTGGATTTTTTTCTTCTCAATTTGTCTGTCATAGTTGACGTGTACCTATGATGAAAATTACAGGCCTCTCTCATCTTTTTAAGTGGGAGAACTTGCACAATTGGTGGCTGACTAAATACTTTTTTTCCCCACTGTACACCTTAGCCAAATACATTTAAACTCAGTTTTTCACAATTCCAGACATTTAATCCTAGTAAAAATTCCCTGTTTTAGGTCAGTAAGGATGATTTATTAAATGTATTTCATCACATTCCCAGTGGGTCAGAAGTGTACATACACTCAATTAGTATTTGGTAGCATTGCCTTTAAATTGTTTAACTTGGGTCAAACGTTTCGGGTAGCCTTCCACAAGCTTCCCACAATAAGTTGGGTGAATTTTGGCCCATTCCTCCTGACAGAGCTGGTGTAACCGAGTCAGGTTTGTAGGCCTCCTTGCTCGCACACGCTTTTTCAGTTCTGCCCACAAATCTTCTATAGGATTGAGGTCAGGGCTTTGTGATGGCCACTCCAATACCTTGCCTTTGTTGTCCTTAAGCCATTTTGCCACAACTTTGAAAGTATGCTTGGGGTCATTGTCCATTTGGAAGACCCATTTGCGACCAAGCTTTAACTTCCTGACTGATATCTTGAGATGTTGCTTCAATATATCCACATAAATTTCCTTCCTCATGATGCCATCTATTTTGTGAAGTGCACCAGTCCCTCCTGCAGCAAAGCACCCCCATAGCATGATGCTGCCACCCACATGCTTCACGATTGGGATGGTGTTCTTCGGGTTGTAAGCTGCCCCCTTTTTCCTCCAAACATAACGATGGTCATTATGACCAGAGGATATTTCTCCAAAAAGTACGATCTTTGTCCCCATGTGCAGTTGCAAACCGTAGTCTGGCTTTTTTTATGGCGGTTTTGGAGCAGTGGCTTCTTCCTTGCTGAGTGGCCTTTCAGGTTATGTCGATATAGGACTCGTTTTACTGTGGATATAGATACTTTTCCTCCAGCATCTTCACAAGTTCCTTTGCTGTTGTTCTGGGATTTATTTGCACTTTTCGCACCAAAGTACGTTAATCTCTAGGAGACAGAACGCGTCTCCTTCCTGAGCGGTATGACGGCTGCGTGGTCCCATGGTGTTTATACTTGCGTACTATTGTTTGTACAGATGAACGTGGTACCTTCAGTCGTTTGGAAATTGCTCCCAAGGTTGAACCAGACTTGTGGAGGTCTACCATTTTTTTTCTGAGGTCTTGGCTGATTTCGTTAGATTTTCCCATAATGTCAAGCAAAGAGGCACTGAGTTTGAAGGTAGGCCTTGAAATACATCCACAGGTAATAATAATAATAATAATTTGCCATTTAGCAGACGCTTTTATCCAAAGCGACTTACAGTCATGTGTGCATACATTTTTACGTATGGGTGGTCCCGGGGATCGTTACAAGCGCCATGCTCTACCAATTGAGCTACCACAAAATTGGTCATCTGTAGGTACACCTCCAATTGACTCAAATTATGTCAATTAGCCTATCAGAAGCTTCTGGAATTTTCCAAGCTGTTTAAAGGCACAGTCAACTTAGTGTATGTAAACTTTTGATCCACTGGTATTGTGATACAGTGAATTATAAGTGAAATAATCTGTCTGTAAACAATTGTTGGAAAAATTCCTTGTGTCATGCACAAAGTAGATGTCCTAACCGACTTGCCAAAACTCTAGTTTGCTAACAAGAAATTTGTGGAGTGGTTAAAAAACGAGTTTTAATGAGTGTATGTAAACTTCCGACTTCAACTGTATATACATATTTCCTGAGCTTTCTTATATCTCCTAAATATAGGACAGACACTTCAAAACCTTATTCCTTATGATTTATGTTTTGATTAGTCTTTTTTGCCATTTATGAATGTGTTATTCGATGCATTTCTATGGGTAGTAGTAAGGCCAAATTCAATATTTTATATATATTTTTTATAACTAAAGGGGTCTTAAAACTCAAAATCAAATACCTAAATGATCCATGGTATGACCATCTTAAAACAATTCCATATGTCATCTTAGATTAAACAGCATGATCATTACACAGGTGCACTTTGTGCTGGGGACAATAAAAGGCCACTCTAAAATGTGCAGTTTTGTCACACAACACAATGTCACAGATGTCTTAAGTTTGCAATTGACATGCTGACTGCAGGAATGTCCACCAGAGCTGTTGCCAGATAATTGAATGTTCATTTCTCTACCATAAGCTGCCTCCAATGTTGTTTTAGAGAGTTTGGCAGTATGTCCAACCTGTCTCACAACCGCAGACCATGTGTAACCACGCCAGCCCAGGACCTCCACATCCGGCTTTTTCACCTGCGGGATCGTCTGAGACCAGCCACCCGGACAGCTGATGAAACTATGGATTTACACAACTGAAGAATTTCTGCACAAACTGTCAGAAACCGTCTAAGGGAAGCTCAACTGCATGCTTGTCGTCCTCACCAGAGTCTTGACATGACTGCAGTTCGGCGTCGTAGCCGACTTCAGTGTGCAAATGCTCACCTTAGATGGCCACTGGCACGCTGGAGAAGTGTGCTCTTCACGAATGAATCCATGTTTCAACTGTACCGGGCAGATGGCAGACAGCGTGTATGGCGTCGTGTGGGCGAGCGGTTTGCTGATGTGAACAGAGTGCCCCATGGTGGCGGTGGGGTTATGGTATGGACAGCTATAAGCTATGGACAATGAACACAATTTCATTTTATCAATGGCAATTTGAATACACAGCGATACCGTGACGAGATCCTGAGGCCTATTGTCGTGCCATTCATCCGCCGCTATCACCTCATGTTTCAGCATGATAATGCACAGCCCCATGTCGCAAGGATCTGTACACAATTCCTGGAAGCTGACAATGTCCCAGTTCTTCCAAGGCCTGCATACTCACCAGACATGTCACCCATTGAGCATGTTTGGGATGCTCTGGATCGACATGTAAGACAGAGTGTTCCAGTTCCCATCAATATCCAGCAACTTCGCACAGCCATTGAAGAGGAGTGGGACCATTCCACAGGCCACAATCAACAACATGATCAACACTACGCGAAGGAGATGTGTCGTGCTGCATAAGGCAAATGGTGGTCACACCAGATACTGACTGGTTTTCTAATCCACACACCTACCTTTTTTAAAAGGTATCTGTGGACCAACATATGCATATCAGTAATCCCAGTCGTGAAATCCATAGATTAGGGCCTAATGAATTTATTTCAATTGACTGATTTCCTTATATGAACTGTAACTCAGTAATATCTTTGAAATTGTTGCATGTTGCGTTTTATATTTTTGTTCAGTGTTGATGAAAAGGAGAAATCAGTATGACATGCTGGCATTTAAAGCGTACTTAATTTTCGAAATTTCACATACTCTAAAACGTTCTATTTTTGAATACTCAATCAGCCTACTATTTAGAAAGCAAGTACGCATATTCAGACACGGCCATCCTATTTTCTGGTTTGGAGGAAGAGTTTACAGGATAGTAATAATCAGGGCCAAAGGTACCCTGGATATGTGACCCTTTTCACAGCCCCTGGAAGTGGTGACCTACAGTTACACCTACATTTCTCTGTCTTCATTGTAGGCATCCGCTATTGAAAAAAATAGAGGCTACAAAGTTTGCTGTGTATCACATAATGTGGCACATTTCCATTGACTGACATTTCCATCAGCGCTGCCCTGTATGCGTGTCTTCGAACATGCTGTGGCAGGCATCCACAAACGGATGATCTGACAGCTTTCAGAGCCTCTACTCTGAGCCTTGCTCCTAGCACAGACGGCAGACCACCCCAAACTAAATCGGGCCATTTGCTGTGCAAAACGGGAGCGTCCGGTGTCCGCCACCTGGCCCGAGATGCATGGCATGGCCATCATGGTTCCCATGCCTCTGGACTCTAGAGTTGCTGAGCCCTTAAGTCACAAATAAATAGTTTCCATGGCAATTGGTCCATCTTTTCTTAGAAGACCAAAGTAGTGTTGCCCGGAAAAGTATCGATGATAATTTAATTTGTTTGACTTTCAGTGTAGCCTTTGCTTATTTTTAGTTGACATAAGAAGAGACAGGAAAGTTACAAGATGTTTAAAAGCACGTAGAAAAATGAATTGTGTACTTTGGCTTGGATGCACTTCGATTGTGGACATTTTGCCTGAAAACTAATATAGGTAGGCTAGTCATATGATGTGCTTAGTCCCAGAGAAACTAAGACACACGTCTTCAAGAACACAAACAGTAGGCCTGCTGCTGAACCCATCACACAAGGAGGGCACCATGGGAATTTCAAGGATGTATTTAGTTGGGGCTCAGTTTTAAATAACACAATTTCTGTGTAAACACTCAGATCAATTTAAAAGTCAAGGCTCCAAAGATTGTTGGAGAGTATTCCTCGATGTGTTAAAGCTGAAAGAAAGAGAGTTACAATTGGGACTATTTGTGGTCACAATTCAGGGCTGAAATATATCACCTTCACTTTCAAGGAGGTACACTGTTACTCTGAAGTGTATTGCTATACCATGGTCTGAACAATGGTTTAGAGCAGGCTATTAGCTAGGGGCCTTTGACATGAGCCTATGCTTAATACAGGGATATATACACTACCGTTCAAAAGTTTGGGGTCACTTAGAAATGTCCTTGTTTTCCATGAAAACATACATGAAATGAGTTTGAATAGGAAATACAGCAAAATGAATAGGAAATGTAGTCATTGACAAGGTTAGAAATAATGATTTTTAATTGAAATAATAATTGTGGCCTTCAAACTTTGCTTTCATCAAAGAATCCTCCATTTGCAGCAATTACAGCCTTGCAGACCTTTGGCATTCTAGTTGTCAATTTGTTGAGGTAATCTGAAGAGATTTCACCCCATGCTTCCTGAAGCACCTCCTACAAGTTGGATTGGCTTGATGGGCACTTCTTACGTACCGTACAGTCAAGCTGCTCCCACAACAGCTCAATAGGGTTGAGATCCGGTGACTGTGCTGGCCACTCCATTATAGACAGAATACCAGCTGACTGCTTCTTCCCTAAATAGTTATTGCATAGTTTGAAGCTGTGCTTTGGGTCATTGTCCTGTTGTAGGAGGAAATTGGCTCCAATCAAGCGCCGTCCACAGGGTATGGCATGGCGTTGCAAAATGGAGTGATAGCCTTCCTTCTTCAAGATCCCTTTTACCATGTACAAATCTCCCACTTTACCACCACCAAAGCACCCCCAGACCATCACATTGCCTCCACCATGCGTGACAGATGGCATCAAGCACTCCTCCAGCATCTTTTCATTTGGTCTGCGTCTCAAATGTTCTTCTTTGTGATCTGAACACCTCAAACTTCGATTCGTCTGTCCATAACACTTTTTTCCAATCTGTGTTCTTTTATCTTAATCTTTTCTTTTTATTGGCCAGTCTGAGATATGGCTTTTTCTTTGCAACTCTGCCTAGAAGGTCAGCATCCCGGAGTCACCTCTTCACTGTTGACGTTGAGACTGGTGTTTTGCGGGTACTATTTAATGCAGCTGCCAGTTGAGGACCTGTGAGGCGTCTGTTTCTCAAACTAGACACTCTAATGTATTTGTCCTCTTGCTCAGTTGTGCAATGGGGCCTGCCACTCCTCTTTCTATTCTGGTTAGAGGCAGTTTGCGCTGTTCTGTGAAGGGAGTAGTACACAGCGTTGTACGAGATCTTCAGTTTCTTGCCAATTTCTCGCATGGAATAGCCTTCAATTCTCAGAACAAGAACTGACGAGTTTCAGAAGAAAGTTATTTGTTTCTGGCCATTTTGAGCCTGTAATCGAACCCACAATTGCTGATGCTCCAGATACTCAACCAGTCTCAAGAAGGCCAATTTAATTGCTTCTTTAATCAGCACAACAGTTTTCAGCTGTGCTAACATAATTGCAAAAGGGTTTTCTAATGATCAATTAGCCTTTTAAAATGATAAACTTGGATTAGCAAACACAACGTGCCATTGGAACACAGGACTGATGGTTGCTGATAATGGGCCTATGTAGATATTCCATTAAAAATCAGCCGTTTCCAGCTACAGTAGCCATTTACAACATGAACAATGTCTACATTGTATTTCTGATCAATTTGATGTTATTTTAATGGACAAAATAATTAATAGCTTTTCTTTCGAAAACAAGGACATTTCTAAGTGACCTCAAACGTTTGAACGGTAGTGTATATCATGCTAATTATGATCACATAGATTAGTGCAGATGTGTAAATACACTAGATAAGCAGCTCCTACCACACAGATGGAACCCCCCTAAAGATAGATGTAATTGAAAGTTGTTCACAAATTCACTCAAATCTCTCATCAAAAGGTGTGTAAGGAAAGAAATAGATAGCCAGTAAATCCCTTGGCTTCTTGAACTGGTTCACACACTGTCCTTAATGTCTCAGGCTGTCTTCAGAACAAATGGTACAGTCAAGGCCAAGAGCTTTATATGTCATCAAAAGGTGGAAAGGAGATTGCATTCCTTACTAATATAATGGTTATACGTAGGTAATAAACATTTAGACAGCCCAATGTCTGTTAGTGAACACTTTCACTGAGTGTGTAAAGCGTGAAGTCGGCCAAACACTTGACCAGCCGTACCTTTCCTTTATTACCATGTAGCAGATATTAGAGAGTGAGAGTGCGTTATTTGTTCTGGGGTAAAGGTATTAAGGCCCTCTCCAAGCTAAGGGATATAATGGAGTAGAACTTTTGAACCTGGGAACTTACTGACCGTACGTATCACCCCATTAACACCCGCTCCCCTAATAGTTTCCTATGACCCAAAGCAAACCAAATTTAAAAGGCTTCCCGCTTTACAGAGCCAAAGGTGTTCCAGAGTGGGATCACTGGTTTTATGTGTTTACAATGTTTAGAATAGTGCTTTGTGTGCTCCCGTTGGAGACACAGGCCACAGGGAGGGGCTGTAGCCGCTGACATTGACCAGGTATGAAGATTGCTACCCCGCGAGGGGCCGCAGCAGTAAACAGGGCCAGCAGCTGTCCAGCCCACAGCCAGAGCAGGAGTGTCCGGACTTCACACGGAGGGGAGAGAGCCAGGGCGCGGGCCTGCTTGTCTGGGGATAGGGTTACCCGATCCGGGCCTGCATCCATGGAAAAGGAGGGTGAGGTGAAAGGCCAGCCGTGTAGGCATTCATTTGTTGATGTTTGATTACACAATTGGGGCATGTGACTGGGTTTTGGCCTGGGAATGGTTGGTGTTCAGCAGCCAATGGAGAGGAGGACGGATAGTGATTAAAACAAGTAACATGCTGTAACTAACCTTTACAAACCTGTACCCCCCACATCAAAGAACAATGGCATTCTGGACCATCTTCACATGTCATCCTCTATAGCAAACTGCAGACAAGACCCTTTACTAGCCATGGTTCCTACCTATGAAATTGCCATTAAGGAGAGGGCACTGACATAAATGCAAAATATAAGATCCTGTGAAATGGTGGACACACAGGTCCATAATAACTGTGACAACTAATGGGCTCCCGGCTCACTGGCCAAACAGTTTGCCATGATTCCCACTGCCAATGCAAAAGGACTCCACCATTTTGTGCTACACCACCTCGAGTGCCCATGACTTATTGAAACTTACCTCAAGACTAATCCCTCCTCAATCTCTGACACAATATCCATGTAGTGTGTGCCCTTGCCAACACCGCGCCCACCATGGGGGCTCAGCCTACAGGAGCACTCGCCCCTGTGACATCCTCTTATTGTCACACCGTTGGGGCATAACTCTGGCATACCATTCTTCGTTAGTAGCTGTGGAGGTTGCATGACAGGAATTAAACTGAGGAGCCGGCGGGCAGAAGATGGATGGTAAAAAAAAAATGGGAGATGCAAGCTGCGTGACCTAATTACGTAACACAAATAGAATCTCCAGCTGGAGTTTGACCTATTGCAGGCCAGCAGGTTGGGGCTGCGCTGTCTTCAGTCATGCGCCTGCCAAGAGAGCTTTTCAAGGAAACACAGAGGTTATGTAAAATATACACACCTATCTATAGCCAAGCTGACAGGACTTATTAGTCCTATTAAAGATGACAACCACACACAGTCAATCTCTGCCCTGCAGCCATCCATGCTTACCAAACCTCCTCCTCAGCTCTTCAATCATCACTTCTACCGTTTACCAGAGGACAGAGAGACCAACCTATGAAAGGTCATATGAAGTTGATTTGAAAACTTACAGTTCCTACCACCAGTTTAGAATGAGTTCCCATTAGTGATGAGATAATGCATGATATTATGAAGAGACAGATATTATTAGGCTAAATAGTTATTTATTAAATTAGTTATATTCATTACTCTAAATACAATTGCATAATATTGACTACTTTAGATACAAATAATATAAGCATTGATAATTGATTGGTTATTATTGTTTATCCAATGGGTGGTTTAGAATTCCCATTGTTAGAGTCTATCCTGCCCATGATTTACAAGACAACATATACATGGCCGCTAGAGTCGGGACAGACAGGCAGAAATCCCTTATAAAAGTCAGGGTATGAGTCGAGAAACCTGCCTAAAGCTATACGATATTACAGAGGACAAGTTAATTATCTTAAATCCTGGAAAAGATTTGTAATGTTGAACTTCTTCTTCATGTAATTCATGCTCATGTTGGGTTTTTGTGCTAGCGCCCAATTGACTCCTTGAAGGAGAGATCTCCTTGTCGGGGTTTACCCAGAATGCACCGCACAGCCCATTGACAACGTATGGGCAACGTACACGGTGGGTGTTAATATGATTCCAATGACATGTTATGACATTTTTATCATGCCAGTGGTTGTCTACCCCACTCGGTTTCCCTGGTGGCTATGACCACGTCACAGACATGATGAAATGTTATAACACATGGCCTTGTATTATTGCTTAAGTAATTATCATTTTACTATGTAAATTCCTGATGAATAAATGTGCTAAAATAGTACTACACAAATATGATATATTCAATATCTAAACATGCGAATGATCTAAATCAAAGCTTTACCCCCTGCAGTTATACTGAACAAAACTATAAACGCAACATGTAAAATTTTCCATATGCACAAAAAGCTTTTCTCTCTCAAAATCTGTGCGCAAATTTGTTTACATCTCTGTCAGTGAGCATTTCTCTTTTGCCAAGATAATCCATCCACATGACAGGTGTGGTATATCAAGAAGTGGATTAAACAGCATGAACATTACACAGGTGCACCTTGTGCAGGGGACAATAAAAGGCCATATAACACAATGCCACAGATGTCTCAAGTTTTGAGGAAGCATGCAATTGGCATGTTGACTGCAGGAATGTCCACCGGAGCTGTTGCCAGAAAATTGAATGTTCATTTCTCTACAATAAGCCGCTGCCAACGTCGTTTTAGAGAATTTGCAGTACGTCCAACCGAAGAATTTCTGCACTAACTGTCAGAAACCATCTCAGGGAAGCTCATCTGCGTACTCGTCGTCCTCAACAAGGTCTTGACTTGACTGCAGTTTGGCGTCGTAACCGACTTCAGTGGGAAAAGGCTCACCTTCGATGGCCACTGGCACGCTGGAGAAGCGTGCTCTTCATGGTTTCAACTGTACTGGACAGGTGGCCGATGGCGTCGTGGGGGCGAGCGGTTTGCTGATGTCAATGTTGTGAACAGAGTGCCCCATGGTGGTGCTGGGGTTATGGTATGGGCAGGTAGAAGCTACAGACAATGAACAAAATTGCATTTTATCTATGGCAATTTCAATGCACAGAGATATCGTGACGAGATACTGAGGCCCATTGTCGTGCCATTCTTCCGCCGCCATCACCTCATGTTTCAGCATGATGCACGGCCCCATGACGCAAAGATCTGCAAACAATTCCTTGAAGCTGAAAATGTCCCAGTTCTTCCATGGCCTGCATACTCACCAGACATGTCACCCTTTGAGCATGTTTGGGATGCTCTGGATCAACGTGTAAGACAGCGGGTTCTAGTTCCCGCCAATATCCAGCAACTTCACACAGCCATTTAAGAGGAGTGGAACAACATTCCACAGGCCATGGGGGAATAGATAGTAGCCCCCTGTGTAACATTGCATGAATTATATTATCACTGTTGTGGTGTGAGACAAGATGTCAATATTAGGATAAAGATGTGTAAATACAAATGTAGGAATATGGGAGCTGGGCTTGTTTGTGTAAACCTGCTCTATTCTTCATATATAGTGCTATACAGTGTGACATACTTTGTTGCTTGTTTACATGACTCTATTTTAAATTGCTGTCTGAGATTTTAATGAGATGAGCTGATCCATTACTCATGAAAGGGGGAAAATGGAGATAAAGTTTACATCCAAAATGTATGCATGGAAACATGAATCTTAGGGAATATTGAGAGCAGGGTAGAAAGAGAAGAGTTAGAGAAGAGATGATTGAATCTCCACGTTTCCTGGTGACTCGTGTCTAATGATAGTAAGCTGAATGGAGAGCTGTAGTCAAGTCAGGTAACTAGCTATACCATGAGGAGGAAGCAAAAAAGGCGCAAGTTTAAGTTTGCTCCACATGATCGAGACCACTATGATGGATCCTTTCTGTATCCTCCTCTAGTCTACAGACTGGGTCAGTGTATCATGTTGACAATCTGCCACGCCCTCAGGTCTTTGATTATAAGCATAATTTTCTTAACTTCAAAAATGTATTGCAGAGGCAGTACTTACAGTGCTGCTGTGGGCTATCAAGTAAATCATTACTAGGGGCTTCAGCTGTAACTATGGTGTCTGCTAATAGCAGTATTTTGAGACAGCTGTAAAACACAGTAATCTTGAACACTGTGTACAACTGGAAAGCACAAAGTCATAAGTACCTGGGAACATCTTAGTTTGTGATAGTAGCAAATCTAAGAACAATGAATCTTCTGCCGCGATGACCTCACCACTGAGTCTCAGCAGTGCACATAAGGCCAAGTGAAAGACATAATATTCACAGGGGTCAACGTGCCAATTTTAGCAGCGTAGCCAATGGCGGAGCTGGAATCCTGCTTCAGATACAGGAGGGGCCGGATCAGGTTTCCTTGCTGAGACACGAACACACAGGCAGTAAAAATAAAGGGACACAGCGTCCCACACTTCTAAAAGTGAAAAGTTCCAAAGACATATTTATCACTCTCTCCTACTGTATCAACATTATAAAGACATTAAGAAAACCTGTCCTGTCTAGTCACCACGCCATTGGCCTTGTGACCATGGAGGACATACCGTCTAGTCTTCTCTTGTGCAGCTGGGCAGTTGACATGTAACAGGAATCCACAGCGTCTATGACAGCACATGACCTCACATGATGGATGCAGGAACATGGTAAATGCAGCAGCGTGTATTTGACAGGGTAGACAGGCTCTTCAAACATCAGACCAGGCCCTCTGAAGAGGACAGCGCCATCCATGGCCAGGACACCTCAGGGTTTGGAGGGGATGGTGGCCGGGTTGACGCCGCGAGGTACGCAGGAGATGGCCTCAGCAGATTCACCAGACTAGGGGTTATTTCTGTATGTAGTGTTGTTGCGGAGGAAAATAGTATAGGACACAAGGTGTAAACATATATCACTTTGGCTTTATTATTGTGCAGTTGAAAATTAAAAAGCCAATCTGACCTATAATAAATGCCGTCCAAAAATAGCTTGCACAGGTTAATACCCGCTCATTAATACCCAGCCAGCATATTCTTGTTTATTCTATTTCTGCTACAGTCATTTTAATTCCATAGCAGCACATGACCTCCAGCTTCCAATTCTCAAAATATGCTGTTAACTGCTGTCAGGGCAGACCTGTTAAGTAATATGATTAATTCACCCACACCCTAAAAGCTGAAACTGCAGCGTGTGATGTAACGATAGAGTAATAACACCCTGCAGAGATCCAGACAGCTGAGACATGGAGCTGGATTGGGTTTTCATTTTGGAACGCATTTTGGAAAACTATTCATTCATAGATTGCTCTTTGGACTCAAGGCCTCCTCTTAAAAGGGCCGTCTTTAACACTTATAGATAGTTTTGACTTCCCCTTGGGGGATTACCTAAAATAGCAGTATTTCGTTTATTTCTTACCGTATCATAATACAAAATATATTTGCATGGACATTAAATATTATAGTGTTTTGTTACATTTTGAACTTCCTAGTACGAGAACCAATAGTGAATAGTTTGACTACACTAAAGGTGGCTGGACTTTTGCTTACATTTTAGCTAGCTAGGATGGTGATTCAAACTCAACATGACCTGAGGTGGGGAAGGAGGAGCCCTAGCTTACACATACTGTCACTAGAGCTCTCTCTCTCTCTCTCTCTCTCTCTCTCTCTCTCTCTCTCTCTCTCTCTCTCTCTCTCTCTCTCTCTCTCTCGCGCTCTCGCTCTCTCTCTTGGGTTCACCCTTACTTCCCCCTCTGTATTGCTCACTTTCTGTCACACACAGGCGCGCACACACACACAAACACACACAGCTGAAACATACACACACAAATAACTGAAACATAATCCAAACAAGGGACTGGGCTATCTCTAATGAAGATAAATGCTTCATCCTAAAGGCTGCGATATATACGTGTGACCGAACTGGGAATGTAGTTGAGAGCATTTAAGTCGGTGGCAGGCTGTGGGTGTTTAGCTGTGGTGTCGGGTTCTATGGCTTTTTACACAGTGTTGGTCAGTCTTTCAACGTCCCTAAGAGCTTCCTGTCAAAAGGCAAATCCACATGAGCTGGACTGTCAACAACATGTGCCATGACATTAATGAACCCAATCAACCTATTGTGGGCTATAGGCCTTTGTTGTTCAGATCACCTTGGTGATGTCTCATTAAGCTTTTTGAAGAAACTAATATAATATAGCTAATATAGATATATATATTTTTTTGGTCATTTAGCAGACACTCTTATCCAGAGCAACTTACAGTTAGTGAGTGCATACATTTTCATACTGGCCCCCCGTGGGAAACGAACCCACAACCCTGGCGTTGCAAGTGCCATGCTCTACCAACTGAGCTACAGGGGACTAAGGATATGTGATGGCACAGACATTACTAATGTAATGTTGTTGTGTTCCCTTGGGGATGATGACTCCACTAATCTTCTGGACAGAAGAGAGGTTCTGAAATTAGTGCAGATCTGTGTACACCTTTGCACATAGACAATATAGTCTACACTTTAAAGTTTGTTTGTCTGTTTTTGTTCTCATCTCGTAGCCAAATACTGAGAAAAGGAATTGACTCCTGTATTACCTCATAACTTATTAAGTCACTACTCGTCTCAGTCAATCAAAGCCATGAAAGGATGGAAACTGAAACTGATATGCCTTGATGATAAAACACAGTGGAAGCCTCTCACATGAAAGAGATGAGAGATTTCAGCAGTGTGGCACCAAGTTTCCATACTGCATCGTAAGCAAGGTGCTGCCCTCTTCTGGTCAGGAGAGGCAGAGTGGTTTGCCTGGTCACCCAGCAGGGTGGTGTCACACCCCCTGACTGTTGCTACACCCCGCAGGCTTCAAAGGTTTCCCTCCTGTCCATGGAGCTCAGCTCACAATGGAGGGAAATGTATTTGTGTGTATTTTTCTCCAGGCCACAACACCCATCCTATGTGCACGTTCTCAGGAGAGATTTTTATCTCATTGAGAAAAAGTACAAGGTCTCCCATTCTGCTGCATTGTTTTATTCTCAATTCACCAAGGCATAATTACAGGCATTTAAAGACTGTACAAAAGGTTAAGAAGAAGAAGTGTAAAAATATAGAAAATATACAAATGCATTTAATGCAATAACAGCTCCAGTTGTTTTATGGGCTGAATAAGTTAGAGAATAAATATTGATGGTGGTCATTCAAGTTGTCTGTCTTGCTCTGATCCTGGTTCTGGTTCTGGCTCTGGTTCAGACTCGTGTTCTTGGTCTGGTTCTTCTGACTCATGGTCATTGTGGTTTAGCTGGGCATACTCAACTGAGCCTTGCAGAAATAGACAAAATAAAAAATAAAATACAAGAAGAAACCAGTGTCTGTTTCTACAGTTTCTGTGTATTCTAGCGGTTTACTCCTTCTGTGTTGTCTTATTTTCTCCATAAGGGGTCCCTCTAAGACAAAACTAAGTAATAAGGTCTATAGTATGTGCGTGAGTGTATTTGTTAGCACATTGCTCTACTTACGCCGTCAGCTTGTTCGGACTCTGACTCACCAGCAAAAACAAGAGCAGGAGACAAGCTCAGGAAATGAAGGCATTCAGTGGTTAGAGAAGATCTACGTCTTCACCACCACTCCCCAAAACAACACCATTCACCCAGAGCCTCCACCTCTCCTCAAGACTGACCGCCTTGGGCTTATCCAATTACAACCACTAATGTGTGTGTGTTACTAGTCAGTTTCCCTGCCAACAAGCCCATTGTTTGACAATATATGATTGTTTCCTCTTCCCCTGTGCTGCAACATTGTTTGATACACATACCATTTACATTTGCAAGGAGTAGGTCAATTACTCAACAATGGACAATATGGATGGCGGGTGGGGGTTCTTATTTCAGGAGTTAACAATGGAGCAGTCCTCTGACTCCGCTTGACAGATGGACCCTGTGTTTGGGTTGGATTGTAATAACAGGAAGTTCCCTTTGACGAGAGCAGGAAGTGGACAGCTGGCTAAGCGGCCGGCTTAACGGCACCCTCTCTCACTAACAATGCAGATGTTTAGAGTTAAGCCTGGCCTGGTTTCCTGCATGGCACATTTCTCAAACCCCAGAGAACAAGCCCATCTCATTTGCTGTTTCTTAGTGTATAGAGGGCTTTAGTGAACATTGAACAGGATATTAGTCTTACCTTGCATCGAGTTCCGCACTTCGCTGTACACCATGTCTGTGCCTTTCTTCACGGGAGCTAGGAATGCATAAACAAATGCTTCATAGGGACATAATCTAAAAATACAAGTGGACAGCTCACGATTATTTGACATTAAGCAATAGATCAATAATAATGTTGACGTGTATTTGAAGCCTAGCACCTCCCAGCTAAGAGGATGGGTCAGTCTCTTACCTCTGGTGGGGTCTACCTCCTGGGGATGGACCTCAGTGTATTGTGGCTCAGGTACCTCAGAAGTTCCCTCGCTGGTCTGGTCGTCAGACTCTACAATAATCACACTTAATGTTAGACATGAATAGTCACAGAGTTAATGCTCATACTGTTGAAATGTAGGAGTTGACCTCATGAACTCTGGTACACTCACCTGAGCCTGAGACATGATCACTCCAGACGCTCCTTCCCATGACCCCAGGAGTGACTGCAAAACACAGAGACCAGGGGTCAGTCATACAGGACACCGGTCACATCCAATTGGAAAAAACATTTATTGCTTTGCCATATTAGGTATGCATCCCTTCACCTGCTATTTACCCTGAGCCAAGCTAGGAGGAAGGAACACACAGAGAGGAAGAGAGAGGATATACTGAGAGGAAGAAGGATTGGAGCAAGGTTAAGGCTGAGATGGTAGGGGCCTGCAAGACTCTATAGACGTTCTATCGTGGGCCAATGGTTTAGTAGTGTGAAGTCCTGACAGCAGCTATAGGTACTACTGTACAGTAAATCAGTAGACAGTGCTTACCATTGACTTCTCCATGGGTTAGTCTCAGAGTCTCGTCTGTTTTAGTGCTTGCTGGCTTCCTGAGAGAGGGGGAACAAGAAAACACAATGAACATTTAAACAGGAAACTCCTATATGACCTTTACCGCTTTAATATTCACATCTTGCCTAACAAAGCATTGTGCATCACCTGTACATTCAATGATTTGTGAAAAGACTATTGAAGTATGATGAAATCAAAGCCAGGCCCACTCACACTGACAGTTCCACTGTTCTCTTTCTTCTGAATGGAAGAAGTCCTTTCTTAACGATGATGATGATGATGATGAGAGACACTGTGAGCAGGATGCAGAACGCTGCGATCAGCCCCTTCTTCCAGCCAGCCAACTTCACTGCAGACAGCAAAGATTCAGAGGTTACCTCAGGTCAAGTTCAACCTCAGTGGATTTAGCTAAAGGACTTCTAGTCACACACAAGTGTGTTTGTGTGATAATACTTTCATGTGTGAGACCCCTTCCCCTCTCACCTCCAACAGTGACCATGGCACTGCTCTTGCTGTCGTTGGATGGGTTGTTGGTGACGCAGTAGTATCTGCCTCCATGCTCTCGACTGACACCTTGAACCGAGTGGGATCCTCGCATGTCATTGGTGGTCTTGGACAGCAGGGGCAGGGCACTCGTTGTGTGATACCATGTGTAGGTGATGGGGGGCGTGCCCCGCTGGACAGTGCAGGTTAGGGTCAGGTCCTCCCCCTCAGCTACGTTCCCCATATTGGGTGTCACGGTCAGTACTGGCCTGGAGACTGGCTCTGTGGGGAATGAATGTTGTTGAGTCATTACAGTAAGTCTGCTCTGTCATCAGTTAGACTAACTGTACCAGCATCTCCCTTTTATAAACCAGAGCCATATGTACAGTACCAGTCAAAGGTTTGGACACACCTACTCATTCCAAGGTGATTCAAGGCACACTTAACCAGCATGGCTACCACAGCATTCTGCAGCGATACGCCATCCCATCTGGTTTGCGGACAATGACCCGACACACCTCCAGGCTGTGTAAGGGCTATTTGACCAAGAAGGAGAGTGATGGAGTGCTGCATCAGATGACCTGGCCTCCACAATCACCCGACCTCAACCCAATTGAGATGGTTTGGGATGAGTTGGACCGCATAGGGAAGGAAAAGCAGCCAACAAGTGCTCAGCATATGTGGGAACTCCTTCAAGACTGTTGGAAAAGCATTCCTCATGAAGCTGGTTGAGAGAATGCCAACAGTGTGCAAAGTTGTCATCAAGGCAAAGGGTGGCTACTTTGAAGAATCTCAAATAAAAAATATATTTTGATTTGTTTAACACTTTTTTGGTTACTACATGATTCCAGATGTGTTATTTCATAGTTTTGATGTCTTCACTATTATTCTACAATGTAGAAAATAGTAAAAATAAAGAAAAACCCTTGAATGAGTAGGTGTGTCCAAACCTTTGACTGGTACTGTACGTGTATGTATATATACATTTGGTTCTGTTATAAACAGGTGGTTTGGCCAACTCGCCTATGATGGTGGCAGTGCGTCGGAGGTGCTCTCCTGAGCTCTCCCTGTGGGGCTGACTGGGGTTGTTCTCGGCCTTGCAGGAGAAGCTGTGGATGTCAGTGCTCCTGTGGATGGAGGTGATGTTGAAGAGGGCCAGATCCTTGGGACTGCGGACCACCCTGAACTCAGCACGTCTGTGGGGGCTCAGCAGGGTGTAGGTGATGGGCAGACTACCGTTGTCACTCTGACACTGGAGCTGGAAGGGCTTGCCCAGGATCAACCTGCCCCCTACCACGCTCAGAAGAGGGACTGACACAGGCACTGACAGAGGGAGAGGGGGAACAAAAAAGAGAACGAAAAAGACAGGATGAGACCTGAGAAGAGAAAAACTAAGTGTTTTTAGAATGACCCCATCCACACAGAGAGACTCACCTTTTGCCTTGAGGACAATCTGTGTGCTGTTTTTGAAGATATCTTGGGCTTGGGCCTGGCAGGAGTAATTTCCATTAAGTGAGGGGTGTGCTGTGGCACTGTAGTTCCCTCCTGATGTCAGTAGGACCTGGTTCCTGTACAGGGAGTACTTCATGTCCCAAATGTTGATTATTTCAGGGGAATTGCGGTCAGTATAGCAGTTCAGTGTGAAGAGCTCTCCCTCAAACACATCTCTGGGCTCCATCACCAGGACTGGCTTGGAAAACAACTCTGTGTGGATCAGACAGAAAAAGCAGAGTGTCAAACATTAAATTCAAAGATACTTTGGCATGGCAAAACATTAAATTCAGTTCAGCTCAAAAACGCTCACTATTACATGTCATGTGGCCCAACCTTTTACAACAGACACATGGACATCCAATACTTGCCTTTGACTTTGATGCTTTCATAGGCTTCTTTCTGCACGTTGCCTCTGTCCGCCTTGCACACATACTCCCCAGAGTCCTCTGCCAGCACTCTGAGCTTATGACTGAGACTAATGGAGGCTGTCTTAAGCACCCTCTTGTCCTTGGTCAGGAAGACCGCCACATTGGGTGGGGGGTTCACCACTCGACAGACAAACTCGACAATGGCACCCTCAATCACATCTTTACCAGGAAGAATGTTCATGATGGGTGTGATGAACAGTTCTAATGATACAACAGAAGAACAGGGATACTCTTTAACCCAACATTTATTTTCTTACAGGTGATCAAATATTGAAGCACACAGAAGCATAATGCCCATAGCAAATGAATGAATCAAATTCAAATTCATTAAATCCCAATGCGCTACTAGAAATCTGAACCAGCACCTTCCAATGACAAATACAACAGTTACAGACAGCATCCAACCCCACTCTTACCTTTGACCATGACCTTGACAGTGTTGCTGTTGTTGGACCTCCCAGCGTCGGGCAGCATGATGATTTCAAAGTAACAGCGCAGGTGTTTGTCCCCAGCATGCTTCAGCTCCAGCCTGGTCTCCACTGAGTTCCCACCGGCCATCACCTGCTTGATCTTCTCCTGGTCCTGGTAGAAGTGGAAGAGCAGGGAGCCAGACTCCTCTGGGGCTGTGCAGGTAGCTGCCAGCTCATCCCCCTCAAACAGGATCTGGGAGGTCACCTGCAGCACAGGCGTCTGTAAGCCTGTGGTCGAACAATCAATGTCAGTCACTATGATTTCACATACCATGCATCACAAAGAGGAAAATACTTGATACTGTATGTACCTACATATAATGGATTATGAATGAAGATCTAGAGAGTTTTACCAGAAAGTCAATATAATCATGGATCCATTTCAGCAGTACCTTTGACGGTGAGTCTCTGGGTCCTGCTGCCTTTGCTCTTGTCCTGAACTATGACCCGGCACTCGTAAGCGCCAGAGTTGGCAGCCCTGGCCGGGGTGAGCTGGTGAAGGACCGCAGGTTCGGTGGTGTTTTTGGAGTAGACCAGGACATCGTCTCGCAGGAAGTTGAAGCTGTGTGTCAGGGGGTGGGACTGGTCATGGCTGATGCTGACCTCACAGTTCAGGTCCACGAATGTCCCACTGTCTACCTCACCACTGGGGTTCAGTTTGAGCGTCACACTGTCTATGGTGAATACTGCACAACCACACGCACAGACACACAAAGACACCATGACAACCAAGGCTAATACAAACTACTATTTGGGGTACAAAATCACCAAGGCTAAATGGAAGTGATTTTTGGTCAAGCCACAAGATATTTGGTATGAACTATACTTTCTGGGCTCTCTCCTCTACAGAGCAGGTAGAGTCCTCCAGACAGAGGAAGGCCCTTCCCTGGTGCCTGGCGGCCCTTCACTCCACTGCACAGTAAGCAGGAGGTGGAGGAGGAAGGAAAGGAGGAAAACACTTTAACAAACAAAGGCCAACCTTCCCCTCCCCTGGGAGGGCTGTGGCCTTACCTTGGCTCCTGTTCGCACTCAACACCAACAACACTATTGGGCCTGAACTGACACAACAAAGCGTGCATGTTGTTCCACATCCTCCCTGGTAACGCTTTTAAAATAGGTACACATACAGCTCAGCCATGCAGGAGAAAAGGCTGAGAACTGAGCCAAACGTACTTTGGAGCCAAATCTGTGACTCAGCCTTTGGGGAATAGATACGGTCTGTTATTACAGTTATATCCACCAGCTCCCTCTCAATACCCAATCAAGAGCTCAGAATGAACAAAGTTGCTGAGAAAATAAAACCATTACAGTATTTGAGAATGTAGGTGGATCAAAGAGGTTCAACATCTCAGAAGCTTGTTCACATGCTGACTCAAAACAATGAAACCAGCTGCATATTCCGCTTAAAATACCTTCAATAAATCTAACAAAAGAGATGAAAATGTCAAGGAAGCAAGAAGCTCACAATACCCATTTCCTACAAAAATAACTATTTTGTGTGAGGTATAAAAATAGCCGCTTGTCAACCGCAGACAGGACCAACTGCCCTCAAACTGTCTCTACGCCGGGACTCTTCCAGCTCTCTGGTGCATTTATTAAAGTGGCATCAAATACAGAAAGTAATTGCATCTCATACTTACATGACCGAGCTTCTGCCCCTTGCCCTGTGAGTGGAGATAGGTGGAAGGAGACAGAGGAGGAATAAGAAAAGAAAACTAGTGATGTGAGAGACAGACATACATATGAATAGAAGGTGAACTAAAGGTAACCTATCTGAGCTGAGAAAGTAGAAAGTAGAGCACTGGGTCCTTACAGAGGCTGAGCAGGCTGGTCAGCATTAGCAGAGGCAGGTAGAGTGGTGGGGAGTCCATCCTGAGTGATGACACGGATACAGCACCACAGCCAGGAGCAAGAGTGGCTGGCGCTCACATAGGGACAGGGGAAGAAGGGGAAGACTGGCCGGGCTACAGGGAATGAGAGGTGGAGTGGGAAGGGGGAGAGGGCGGGGCGGGGGGTAATTGTCTAAGTGTGTGTGTGTTACGCCTTCGTCTTATCATTGGCCTTCTTTTTGTTTTATTGACCAGGAAATTACAGCTGCTTCCTCAGGATATGCAAGTTCCCAAATGTACAGTACCTTCAGAAAGTATTCATACCCCTTGACTTATCCCAAATGTTGTTGTGTTACAGCCTGAATTCAAAATTGATTAAATTGTTTTATTTCTCACCCATCTACACACAATACCCCATAATGACAAAGTGAAAACATGTTTTTAGACATTTTTGCAAATTTGTTGAAAATTAAATACAGAAATATCTAATTTACATAAGTTTTCACACCACTGAGTCAATATATGTTAGAATCACCTTTGGCAGCGATTACAGCTGTGAGTCTTTCTGGGTAAGTCTCTAAGAGCTTTGCACACCTGGATTGTAGAATATCTGCCCATTATTTGTTTCAAAATTCTTCAAGCGCTGTCAAATTAGTTGTTGATCATTGCTGGACAACCATTTCAAGTCTTGCCATAGCTTTTCAAGCAGATTTAAGTAAAAACTGTAACTCGGCCACTCAGGAACATTCACTGTCCTCTTGGTAAGCAACTCCAATGTATATTTGGCCTTGTGTTTTAGGTTATTGTCCTGCTGAAATGTGAATTCATCTCCCAGTATCTGGTGGAAAGCAGACTGAACCAGTTTTTCCTCTAGGATTTTGTCTGTGCTTAGCTCCATTCGGTTTCTCTTTTATCCTGAAAAACTCCCCAGTCTTAATGATTACAAGCATACCCATAACATGAGCAGCCACCACTATGCTTCAAAATATGGAGAGTGGTACTCAGTAATGTGCTGTATTGGATTTGCCCCAAACAAAAAGGGAATTGCTTTGCTACATTTTTTGCAGTATTACTTTAGTGCGTTGTTGCAAAGAGGATGCATGTTTTGGAATATTTTTATTCTGTACAGGCTTCCTTCTTTTCACTCTGTCAATTAGGTTAGTATTATGGAGTAACTACAATGTTGTTAATCCATCCTCAGTTTTCTTATATCACAGCCATTAAACTCTGTAACTATTTTAAAGTCACCTTTGGCCTCATTGTGAAATCCCTGAGCAGTTTCCTTCCTCTCCGGCTACTGAGTTAGGAAGGCCACCTGTATCTTTGTAGTGACTGGGTGTGTTGATACACCATCCAAAGTGTAATTAATAATTTCACCATGCTCAAAGGGATATTCAATGCCTGCTTTATTTTTATTTTTACCCATCCCCCAATACAGTGGGGAAAAAAAGTATTTAGTCAGCCACCAATTGTGCAAGTTCTCCCACTTAAAAAGATGAGAGAGGCCTGTAATTTTCAACATAGGTACACGTCAACTATGACAGACAAATTGAGAGAGAAAAAATCCAGAAAATCACATTGTAGGATTTTTAATGAATTTATTTGCAAATTATGGTGGAAAATAAGTATTTGGTCACCTACAAACAAGCAAGATTTCTGTCTCTCACAGACCTGTAACTTCTTCTTTAAGAGGCTCCTCTGTCCTCCACTCGTTACCTGTATTAATGGCACCTGTTTGAACTTGTTATCAGTATAAAAGACACCTGTCCACAACCTCAAACAGTCACACTTCAAACTCCACTATGGCCAAGACCAAAGAGCTGTCAAAGGACACCAGAAACAAAATTGTAGACCTGCACCAGGCTGGGAAGACTGAATCTGCAATAGGTAAGCAGCTTGGTTTGAAGAAATCAACTGTGGGAGCAATTATTAGGAAATGGAAGACATACAAGACCACTGATAATCTCCCTCGATCTGGGGCTCCACGCAAGATCTCACCCCGTGGGGTCAAAATGATCACAAGAACGGTGAGCAAAAATCCCAGAACACAACGGGGGGACCTAGTGAATGACCTGCAGAGAGCTGGGACCAAAGTAACAAAGCCTACCATCAGTAACACACTACGCCGCCAGGGACTCAAATCCTGCAGTGCCAGACGTGTCCCCCTGCTTAAGCCAGTACATGTCCAGGCCCGTCTGAAGTTTGCTAGAGTGCATTTGGATGATCCAGAAGATGATTGGGAGAATGTCATATGGTCAGATGAAACCAAAATAGAACTTTTTGGTCAAAACTCAACTCGTCGTGTTTGGAGGACAAAGAATGCTGAGTTGCATCCAAAGAACACCATACCTACTGTGAAGCATGGGGGTGGAAACATCATGCTTTGGGGCTGTTTTTCTGCAAAGGGACCAGGACGACTGATCCGTGTAAAGGAAAGAATGAATGGGGCCATGTATCGTGAGATTTTGAGTGAAAACCTCCTTCCATCAGCAAGGGCATTGAAGATGAAACGTGGCTGGGTCTTTCAGCATGACAATGATCCCAAACACACCGACCGGGCAAACGAAGGAGTGGCTTCGTAAGAAGCATTTCAAGGTCCTGGAGTGGCCTAGCCAGTCTCCAGATGTCAACCCCATAGAAAATCTTTGGAGGGAGTTGAAAGTCCGTGTTGCCCAGCGACAGCCCCAAAACATCACTGCTCTAGAGGAGATCTGCATGGAGGAATGGGCCAAAATACCAGCAACAGTGTGTGAAAACCTTGTGAAGACTTACAGAAAACTTTTGACCTGTGTCATTGCCAACAAAGGGTTTATAACAAAGTATTGAGAAACTTTTGTTATTGACCAAATACTTATTTTCCACCATAATTTGCAAATAAAAAAAAATTCTGGATTTTTTTTCTCATTTTGTCTGTCATAGTTGATGTGTACCTATGATGAAAATTACAGGCCTCTCTCATCTTTTTAAGTGGGAGAAGTTAAACTGACTAAATACTTTTTTCCCCCACTGTATGTGCCCTTCTTTGCGAGGCATCGGAAAAACTCCCTGCTCTTTGTGGTTGAATCTGTGTTTGATATTCACTGCTCGACTGAGTTAGATACACCAAATACAGATCAAAATGTACTTTGCCCATGTGCTTATTGTTCATGAATGATTGGCAAGTCCAACAAAACCCTCGCTAGGTTTTAAGGCAGTATGACCATACAACACATAAAGAGTTAACCAAAAAGGTTATATCTGTAGCCAGGAAATTCTATATTACAGTCAGCGGGAGAAAGTCAAACCGAAAGACTATGCTTCATTACTGCTTACCTTGTTATGACAACTTCTTTGCTCCCCCTCAGACAAAAGCCTTGGGCTAGTATGGTCCTGATGAGATGTACATAGGATCTACATAGTACACTGATAGGGGCTTGACAAACAGAGAATGTCTGAAATAACTACTCTGTCCAAAGAGCGTATATGGGTATTTTACACACTGTCTGTCTGTCCACATTATCGTGTGAATTTCTGCTCAGTCCTGATTGCAATTCTCATATCTCACCACTAAGAGCTGCTAAAGGCTCACAGGGAAAAGGGCTACAGCAGCAACATCACCTACTCAACGTTCTTCTCACCGCATCAACATCTGCATATGGCTCGTAGCCTGTAATGTCTGTGTAGCATTGGAATATTAAGTGAAATTGGGTGGAGATGGAATGAACCTGCCAAAATTCTGGAATTGTACCTTTGCTGTAGGTATCACTGCAGGAGTCATGTACAGAGCCAGTACAGAGCCTGAGGAGTTGCCCTAACTGCTACTGTCCCTGTGTTGTGTTGTGCTGTGGTATGTTGTGTTTTGCTGTGCTGTGTTGTGTTGTGGTGTGTTCTGTTATGTTTTGCTTTGCTGTGCTGTGTTGTGTTGTGTTCTGTTATGTTTTGCTTTGCTGTGCTGTGGTGTGTTGTTGTGTGTTCTGTTATGTTTTGCTTTGCTGTGCTGTGGTGTGTTGTTGTGTGTTCTGTTATGTTTTGCTTTGCTGTGCTGTGGTGTGTTGTTGTGTGTTCTGTTATGTTTTGCTGTGCTGTGCTGTGCTGTGTATTGGTGCGGTGTGGTGTGTCTCTTTGCGTCTCCATATGGCCCAGGACCTGAGTGATGGCCTGCATTTGTTAAACATTCATGGGACAGGTTAGTGCTTAATTGCACCGCTGGCTCATCAGGGGGTTAGTGTGAAAATGCTTTGGTTTCTCACAAAGTCACTGAGGGGTCCAGCACGCAACCACAAACTGTACCCTATGTATTCAGACTATAGCTGTAAGCTAGCATACATATATAGATGTAACATCCCCTGTGCAGGCATTTGCTTACATAAGCTTACATTGCTTACAAGTTTTGCACTCATGCTTTTAAAAAGGACATTTTCACACATTGGACAAACTGACTTTTCAAAGTCACCAGCCATACACATATATAAACACAGACTCCTTGTGCACCTAGTTTAAGCTAAAACATACTAGAACATACTAGATTGGCAAAAACAGTGTAGTTGGCACCCATTCTTCTACTCAGGATGCTGCTGGGTGTAATTGGCTCCCATGGCCAGTCTGTCTGTCTGTCCGTCCGTCTGTCTGGACGAGGGTGCACAGCTGGCTGTGACTGATGTACAGTAGAGATGGAGCTGACTGTCTGGATTGATCTGGCTGAGTTCCTCATCACGCCATGATGCTCAGTCACTTGGAAATCCTCCAACAGGTCCCACAGGGAAGGGAAGAGTCACCCGCCTGCTGCGGCAGGGAGGTGGTGGGGGGTTAGTTGAGCAGAATGTCTGTCTACTTGACATTTTGACTTACAGATGCTTTGTCTACTTGACATTTTCTTATTGTTTCTCTTACCAGGCATACATTACATTCAGTGAATGACCTCCAAAACCGACGAGTGTTGTTGAGAGAATAGAGTGGCAGGCTGCATGTGTTTGTGTTCACCATTAAAGAGCATTCACATATGAGAGTGATTGATGGTGCCCTGTGGCGCTGCTGTTGAGGCGGTCAGTTCTCTGTGGGTCGTGGGTACAGAGGTCTGATTGATGTCATAGCCCCGGGCGGCACTGCCAAAGCTCCCCTCCTCTCCTCTGACTGGCTCAGGCTCTGCACACCGCAC